GAGATACAGATACCTTACAGAGAAGCCTTTTGAGAGCTTTTGTGAATTCTTTTCTGCTGTCTGGAGTTTTAAGTTTCTGACATGCCAGATGATATTGCTGAGAAGAGGCTGCTATCTATATGGATGTTCTAACTATGGTCCATTTAAAATAAATCTCCTGTACTGAATTATTTAACAGCTTTTCTGTGGCTGTTTTGAAGAATGTCTATTTTTCAGCTTCTGTATTAGAATCAAGAAGACATTGCACGCCAATCCAAATGGTGGATTTCAAGCTGATTTTCTGAATAAAATTTTTGGATGCAGTCAGACTGACTGTCTCTATCTCTCTTTAGAACACAGAGTAATTCTGAAAGTCTTGGTTGATTTATCTTGTAGACCTCTACAGCTTGTTAAATTTGGCTGTGGAGTTCTCCAGCTCTATAAAAATGTGATGACTGAACAAAGGACACCGAGCCTTAAAGTTTCAACAGGTAGCTCTGCTGTTGTTGGTGTGTTAAACAGCATGAGCAAGGAGGCGCTTCCCATCCTGTCTCCACTGACTCGAGAGTATGGGGGGACACACACTGCTGAAGGCCCTGGGGAGCCTGCTTTGAGCAGAGGCTGCTCACCTTCCTCCTCCACTCCTTCCTGCAGGGAGGAGTGATGCACAGAGCTGCACACAAATGGCAGTGCAGCCCTCTCCCCACTAGCACTGCTCTTCAAGCTTCCTTTTACCAAAAAAAAGAAAATGTGGCTTGATCATTGCTAAGCAAGGATTCTTTATCAGCAGCACTGGGGCTGCACTGAGGATTTTCCTTCTGTAAGTACTACTGATGTTTAGTTAATTACAGATTGCTTATTTTTTCCATTTCTCTGAAATATCTTGCATAAACACACCTATTCCCATATTTGTTTTGCTTATTACAATTTATGGTGTTTTGCTGCCATCTTCTGTCCTTTTGCAACAAACACAGTCCCTGTGGTGGTCATATTACCTCCCCCGCTGGTTGTTTCATAGTCTTCCTCACATGTTGGCACATGCTCAAGGTCCATTGTCTCCTTTCCAAACCTCGAAGCTGGTTCCTGCTGGTGTTGTGTTCTTATCATCTTGGATGGCCAGCTTCACAGCCTTGAAGGCTGGGGTCTGATTGGTTACTCCTTTTAAGCCATACATAAAAGATACATGCATCCTATCTACTTACAAAACTGTGTCTTATCTAAAGATTCTCAGGCAGGTTTCTCAGGCAAGCTGAGCAACAATATTTAACAGCCCCTTTTAACAGTGTTAACAGCCCCTTTCATTATAATGGCAGATAATGACAGGACAAGGGGCAATGGTTTTAAACTGAGAGAGGACAGGTTAGATTAAATGTTAGGAAGAAATTCTTACTCAGAGGGTGATGAAGCACTGGAACAAATTCTAAAAGAGTAAAGTGTTCGATATGTGTTAAATTATGTCATTTGTGTCTCCTAGGGGCTGAAGGGTAAAAGGATGTATAACCACTGAGTTTTTCAGTTGAATCATTCCTGAACAATTTTAAGAATTTCTTTTTACTTAGCCTTTAGCTGTAATAAAGACCTAAAACTAAACTAAATCATCATTCTGTATAATATAATGCAAAATTCCATAATCAGGCAACTCAGTGCATACTTCTTACTTTGTTCTGTTCATTCTATTTATCTCTTATATATGGAACTCTTAATAGTCAAAACTGTAACTGGAAAATAACGATGTGAGGAAGGTTTTGAGAGATCTGAAACTGGGAAAGGGCAGATTCTTCATATTTTCAAGTGTCATTTTCAAGTGCGCTCACTTACAATGACATTTTACAATGTACATTCTATTTTCTGAAACTTGTCTAGTAGAATTCAGAAACTCTATTTGAGCTGATGCCATCTTTTTTCATTCCAGCTAACCTTTAGTTGGTACTAATATGAGGATGAATATGCTCAAGTGTCAGAGTGTAAGGTCTTTCCCCCTTCAGATTTGCTTCCATGGTGACTTCATAAAATGTTTTCCTATAACATTGAATTTTCTTTTTGTCTTTCATGGATTTACAGAGGAACTGAAGCGAGTATTCACATGACTTGGTCTGGATGTGAGGACTTACACAAACGTGAGGTCTGGGGAGATTACAGATCTCATGCAAACTTGGCAGCGTTTGCAAGATCACAAAGACAGGAACTGTTTTAAATGTTGTATTCTATCTCATGGAAAGTCAGGAGCAATCTGTGGGACAGATGAGAAACCTGTATCAATCTGCATGATTATGTCCCACTTCACTGCCACATAATGTCCCCAGCTGGCTGGAAAACCCAAACTCTTCTTTATCCAAGCATGCCAGGGTAAAAAGATACAGCATCCTGAAGTTGATGCACAAATTCCTGAATTCTATTCCATGCAACAGAGCTTTTCGCTTTCTGAAAGTATTCCTGAAGATGCTGATTTCCTCCTAGTCATGGCCACAGGGTACTTGGTATATTCAGGCCCTCTGCAGCAAGCTACAGTTGTTGGTACCAAGGTGAATACTTTGCTTAGTGCTCTGATTAAATTATTTTTCTCCAAAGGCAATTCGTATAGGAACACTAACCCATGTTCTGAGGTGGACAAAATTGGTTAAACTGATGGTTTTACGCTGATAAATTTACATTAACGCTGCTAGTACCATAGAGATAATTTGAAGAATATGAAGTTTATTGTAAAAGAAACCCTCAAAGCCTCCCATCTATAATCTTTAAAGCAGAGCTGTGTCTTGAGTGGATTTAGGTAAAAATATTTTGTTCCATTATTTCCCTTTACTGGTTAAATCAAGAAAGTCAAAGAAAAGGATGTGTTTTCTTTTTTTGTGTTTTAACTGTTCATAGTGTATTTTCTAGCTTTTCAGGGAGGTGTTAAATGGATTGCCATCTGCTCACTAATAAGTAACTTTTTTATTCTCTCCTTCTGTCTGTAGGGGTAAAGATATTTTGTCAATTCTTACAGAAGTTAATTGAGATGTGGCCAGTCATGTTAACTACATGGGGACAAAGCAGATACTCCAAATAGCTTTAGAAGATTTACATTTCCAATTCCTAGGGACCTGCCTCCTTCAGAGCAATATCAGGGCTTTCAAAACACATCATTTTATCATCTTATTTAAATGCAGTTCATCACACTGCTTATTTTAAGACTGTTACCCAAAATCCTGTGGATCTGTTAGCTTCAAGGCAACACCTCATAAATTTTTTGTCAAATGAATTGTGAAACTGGAGGAGACACTATTAATGCATGTGCCAGCTATTTACATCATCTGTATATTCAGAGTTATCAGGTTTGGGAGAAACATGCTTCTATGATGTTAAACATTTTTGTACCTGCACAGGCTGCAGACAGAAAAGGATTTTTTTGGCAGCATAGGGGATGCATGTAACCTTCCATGTCTAAACCAGGGCTGTTAATGGTCTGGTTTAGGCTCATCATATTTTATTTTGCAGGCTAACAGTTTTAAATCCTTGTATTGGATCTGGCTGAGCTGGAGTTCATTTCCCCATAGCAGCCCTCACAGTGCTGTGCTTTGCATTGGGAGCCAGAAGGGTGCTGATAACACACCGGTGTTTTGGCTGCTGATGAGCACAGCATCAGCACTGTAACATTCCTTCACTAGTCAAGGGCAGGATTCTAGGAGGGGACACAACCAGGCCAGCTGACCCAAACTGACCAAAGGGCTATTCCATACCACATGATGTCAGCTCAGATATAAAACCTAAGGCAAGGAGCAGGGACATTCATTGTCTCCAATGGCTGCCTGCTGAGAAACCATCGTGTGTGCTGAAGCTTCTCAGAAGTGGCTGACCATCACTGCTCGTGGGAAGTAGAGAGTAAACATTGATGTCTTTCGCTTTGCTTTTGCACGTGCAAGCTTCTGCTTTGCTTTAGCCTCAGTAAACTGCCTTATCCCAACCCATGAGTTGTCTTCCATCTTATTCTCTCTCCCCTGTCTGGCTGGGAAGGGGAGTGATAGAGTGGCTGGGTGGGCACCTGGCATCCAGCCACGGTCAACTCACCACAATCCTGCTTCTAAATCCACTAGCTATGTTCATAAAGAGAGAGAAAAGTGGGAATGAAGAGGCAAAAGCGTAGGTAGTAAGTGAAAAAGGATTTCTTCCATCTCTAATGTAAATGGCATTTAACTTAATAGAGGACCGGTTACCAGTTGAAATCAGGAATTTGTCCCACAGTGCACACTGATACTGTCAAATGCCTAACATAAACTTCATGTGCAGTGAGATTTTTCCAAGGTTGAATAAAGTCAAAATGCTGCATATTATTCCCTCTTATGAAACCTTATGAACTGTTATTTCCCCATCACTTCTGAGAAGAAAATGTAAGGTAGAAGATTGGCATGCTATGAAATACACCATTCAGCAATGTATCTCTATAAGTTTATCAGATTGATTAACTTTGTTAAGCATTAAATTTTTTCATTATTGTTTCTTGGTTTAAGATCTAAAATGGTCTAATATGAGAAACAAGGCTCTTTGTTGATTAAGCTTCTAACAGAGAATTTTGTGAGTTAACTGAAATAATGCCATGTTGTTTTGTTATGAGCATTTACTATGTATGTCTGTGTCCTTCCTGTTTATTACTACATTAAATTCTTAGTTCTAAGAGCTTGGTGAGATAAAAATTAAGTATTGGGGTAAGGCTTTTCCTTATTTCTGACTGGCCCTGCACTTTGTTAGGCTGCATGAATCAGTGGGGTTTTAACTGCTTCAGGGTTTAAGCTGAAGTGAAGCTTAGTTAATTTGAGCAAAGCACTCATTGTGTATGGTTACTAGCCATACACTAGGGTGAAGATTTGAAAGAGTACTGCTTAGTGCTGTTGGATGCAATTTCTAGCTTGCACTATTTTTAGGTGGGAAGTTTTGCAACTCCCCACAAGCAAACAAACGTGGTTGGTTGCTGTTGAGGCTCACTGATGGTACACAGAAACATAGGCACGTGCTCTCCGCCTACAGAATTAAGGAAGGGTTGTGTCTTGTGCAGCCCTTGTTTAGACAGATTTAAGTGAAACTAGTGTAAAAAGAGTTTGCTGGGGAAGTTGGGAAGTCTTGGGAAGACCAGAATCTTAAAGTGGGATTTGTAACATCAACAAGTTTCTGGTACCCTGTCCTTCCTGTCGGTTTTTGTGCAGAAGCTGTGTATCCTGCCGTGTGCCAGTGGAGGCCACAGTCACTACAGTTGCTGAGCAGTCAGCAGCCTCAGCAGTTTCATTTCCTCAAGACCACCCTTTCTAAGCGAGGTGAATTTTTGGCAGGCCGTACAAGGAAAAGATTGGGTCACTGAGACAGTTCTAGAGAAAGCCAGAGGAACAAAAACAGGGTGCAAGGAAGCTGAGGGAAATTAGAGAGACTGTATTTAACAAAAGGACAGGAATATTTCCAGGAAGGGTAAGAAAGGAAGAAATCAAAAGTAAAACTTACAGAATGGTACCGGAAGGGGTGGTCCTTTAAACTGCTGTATGAAGGGCGAGGCCACAGTCAAGTATTTATCGCACAGTGCAGATCACGGCAACTGAACTCTTGATTCAGGTAAGACACAGAAGAACTAATCCAGGGAAAGAGTTGCTGAGACTTGAGATGACAAGGAGATAGACATATTTTGGACCTGAAGATGAACTCATACTTGTGGTGGCCCTTTGGGTAAAGGCACAACTCGTGCCAGTGAAACAAGTCAGACGGGTTTTCTGATCTGTTACTACCCTAAGCCTTTTGGAAGGAATTTGTATGCCTCATTCTGTCAAAAGGTATGTTATCATTTTCAGTTTGTAAAGGTAGATAGGTTGAAATCAATGAACGACTGTCTTCATTGCAAAATTTTAACAAATTCTGGCTCTCCTAACTGTCCATCTTCATAATGCTGACTTCACAATTTTCTGGGAACCTGGTAGCCCTACTTACCACTGTTCACCTATTTCCTGCTGCATGGAAGAGACTGGTGCATGCTGGGAACCTTTCCACTTCAGAGGGTGAAAATGTCAGAAGTTAATTCTTGCTTAAATTCTCCTGTAAACGGGGAAGTATATTACATAAATAATTTCAAAAGAATGTTTAGTTGTCGAGTCCCCTGTATTTACTGAGTACTGCTACTGAATTTGGTGCTAAAAGTTGACTGTTTTTTATTTGGGAAATAATTTTCCTGTTGAAAATAGGCTAGGGTGAATTGGAGAGGGATTTCAGAGAAAGGAGGTAACTCATGGCAGATCTAGTGACACAGCAGGACAGTGGGTCTGAGACTTTTAAAATTAAAAGATATAATTGATTCACCCATCCCTCACTGTCTCTTAATCAGAGTTTTTATAAGAGAGTGAAAATACTGAGCTGTGCTGTATGCTAGAAAGCACTAGGTATGCTGCTTAGTGTGTCCCCCTTAAAAGCAAAACCTGATTACTGTTGTGGCTTACTTACAATTTTTTTCTCACAAGTTCTGCAATAATCAATTTTCTGAAACTGGAATTGTGATAGGTGGAGTAGGGATCTGCTGTTTTATGACCAGTTTATTTAACATACTTCTTGTAAGTCATGTGACAATGTAGATATCGTACAACAGTACCTTTCCTGGAACTTTAGAGACTCTGCCTGTCTCACTTTTTTCAGAGTTGTTCCAGCACTCCTCCAGCCTGTCCTCCCATGTAAGTGATGTAAAATTACTATTATTATTCAGTTTGCATGTTGTATCAGTTGTGTCTTCAATTTAGTAAAGTGGGAGAAAAAGAAAGTGGCAGTTAAACATTGTTTTAGTTGTCCTCCCTGTAATGACAGACAAGCTTAAATATAGGTGGCACATGTGTTCTAACTGCAATAATTGGATGGGTTTGAAACTTACAGCCCTTGAGAAATAAAAATGGAAATTCCCTTTACAAGAAAGATTTTCTTTTGTAAGCATATACCTTGTATCTTAAACAAAAAGCATGATTTATGTGAGAAAGAAGATAACTGCCTAACTAGCTACCAAGAAAGTACACTTCTCTTTCCTGTGTGAATACAGAAATATAAAGTCAGATCTGCAATCATCAAATCGTGAGTAGCATGATTCAGATACCAGTGGTTTTGTGGTGATATGGACTGAATGGTGTGGATTCTAGTCTAAGAGTTCAGTTTGACTGGATTTAAAGAAAATGGTATTTGGGGGCAGAGAGTGAATCGTATGTGCTGTTACAACACGTTTTGCTGTTTTATCATTTTTTTGGAAGACAAAGGTTTAAGATTCAGTTGTACATTCATTCTTGCTAACCAACAGAATGCTGCCCAAGAGCATGCCACAAAAGGCTGTTTTGCTGTAGAGTGGTCCTTGGAGGGGAGTGGAATACAATTGTCTTCTAATTATTATTACCAGTTAGTCAGCTGGGCTACCTTGGAGTTACCAGCCCTGGTATGGAAACATTTGCGGTAGCAATAGGATTAAATTGATTGCATAGTATTCCAGTAGTGTAGGAGTGGAAAGTTTTCATTTGCCCTTGTCAACTTTTCTGTCTCCCAGTGACAGTGTCTCTCAATGGGACAAGAGACCTCTTCTGAAGGCATTTCTATTGAGTTTCTCTTCAGAGATTCCCAGGTGTCTTATATCTAAGGCAGAGAGAATAAAATGGTACATGGTTCTCTTACTAGAGGGAAGTGGAGGCAGGTCCTTTAAGTATCAGCTGTAGAGAACCAGGTTTCTCTCAACCTTTCTGAGTATTGCTGCAGGAAAGGTGTGATTGGAGGAGAGGGTCTGTGGAGGTGGCACAGTGCTGTTCTGGGCCAACTTCCTGCTCTGCCCTGAGACTCGTGTCCGGTTACCCACCCCAGCTCACTTCCTGAGGAAGGGCTGGCTGCGCACACAGGCACAAAATGCTCAAAAAGTCCAATTTAGATAAGAGGCGTGCACCAGGTTAACTATAACAGGGTGTGGATTGAGCCCCCCCTCTCTCTTTTTTCCTCTCTTTTCTCTGTCTCTCTTTCCCCAGCTCCACCATCCATGTGGCAGCACCAATGCAGGATCAAAGGACTGGTGATGTTCTTTGTTTTCTATTCTATCACTTCTACCCCATACTCAGTTTTGAAGTTTGCTGTGGGAAGGGGGAGGTGTTTGTTCCTTGTGAGCCAGTACCTTTGTGGTTTGTGAGCCAGCACCTTTGAGTGGTGGTGGCTGCAGCTAAGACGATGGTACAATAAAACAGTGAGGTCCTGACACGTCTCTGGTATCTTTGTTCAGCCTGACAAGAATTTATAACAAACATCACACCCTTACCACTGGGTTGTGACATCAGCAGAGGCAGGTCCTTTAAGTGTCAGGGTGAGATAGTTGCAAGGCTTGCAGTTGGTATTTTCTAACTTTCTCTTGTGCTAAAAGTTGAATTCATAAGCCAAGTTTAATATTGCTAAAGCTGATAGAGGAAGAGGAGGGGAAGGGAGGTGGTATTTCATGCTCATTGAAACAGAGGTAATTTTATAAGAATTCTTCTGGCCTTTTTAAAAGGGTTGACATGATCTGTATTTAATACTACAAATTGATTGAGAGCTGGGAACTGAGTTTTATTTGATGTAGATAAACCAAAACAGGAAGAGATGTTTTGGGTATGCTGACCATCATCAGAAGCAGTGTAAAAAGAAAGAAGCCAGATAGCTTAGAGCAGTTATACTCCTGTGGACTCTTTAGCTTTGTTACCATGTAAAACCTTTGTTATGGTGTAAAACTTGTCAGTCTCATTTATTACACAGTCTATATTTCAGATTGGCAAGTGGCTGTTGCTCCCAAATGTGATCAAATATCAAAAAACCCCAAAGCCTAAACAAAAACAGCAGCAGCCTGCCAGGATTGTACATCCTGTACATTGGTACTTCCTAGTGCCTAGACACACCATAGGACGCAAGGACAACCCATGACTTTCTCTGTTACTGTCACTTAGTACAGAGGTTTTAATACTCCTTGTTAAGTCCAGAGAACCAAAAGAGCAAAGCATCAAAGCTATAATAGCAAAGGCAGCCTCTCTCTACTGAAGTACTTCTGATTGCATTATTTTGGGCTATTCTACATGGTGTGATACCTTTTATATAAATCAATGTTATTGCACTACTGTCACTGACAAATGAAATCAACTGCTGTTTGTATTTAGATCCAAATCCTGATGTGAAATGTGTACAGACTTCCACAAACTCCTTTTTGAAGTTTCCGAGGCTTTGGTCACAGATGAACTGGTGGCACTGAAGTTCCTCAGCCTGGATCACATTCCCATGAGGAAGCTGGAAGCCATCCAGGAGCCAAAGGCCTTCTTCGAAGTGCTGCAGGAGAAAGACATGATTGAGTCAGGGAACCTGGCCTTTCTCAGGGAGCTACTCTACTGGATCGGTCGGATGGACCTCCTGTCTACCCACCTGGATTCCAGCCGGGAGCAGATGGAGAGAGAGCTGCAGGTCCAAGGCAGGGCAAAGGTGTCAGCTTACAGGTAACACAAAATGTTGCACACAACATGTACAACAGTTCAGTTGTGTAGTGTCTTGTTTTCTGTCTGCACTGTTGTCTTATGAATATCCCAGCATAACTGTATTTATTACAGCATGAATTCCTGCCATAGTGAGTTCTACATTTTGCAATTCAAATGTGTAATTGTGGTGTTTACTTCTTATAACTTTCTTGAACAGTCTCTCTATTCTTTATTGTCAGGCAACTGCTATATGGAATTGCAGAGGACTTGACTCCAGAAGATGTCAAAAATGTGAAGTTCCTTCTCCAAAAAAAATTGCCTAAGAACAAGCTCCAGGATAATGCTGTATGAAAAGTGATCTTGAGAAGTTTTGCAAGGCTAGTTCAGAGTGTGCTAGTTCTTGTAGGAAGGGAGGAAAGAGCAAGCAGTCTGCTCTCATGCAAATCTGTTGTTGAAAGAATTGTGATGTGCTGTGCAAAAGAATGGACCCTTATTTTCTTCATGGTATCTTTTCTCTGCCCTTTTTTGCTCTCCTGGTCTTATTTTCTCTCTACCACCTGTCTCCCTAATCTTTTCTTCTTGCAAAATCCATCAAGCTCTTCCTTTAATCTTTGCTTGATATTTATAAGACATTTATAAAGCATTTACTGTATCTAAGAAGAGTGATGTTTGCTAAAGGAAAAACAATGTTTTGGAGACAGAAAATTGAGCTCTAATGTGAGTTCGACCACAAATTTTTGTATGTCATTGAGTAAATTTTCTTCTTTATTGTAATTTGGAGTAATAGCATCTTGTTAACTTCTCCCCAAAGATATTAAGAGTTTTAATGAGCTAGTTTAACACTTGTAAATAATGAACAGTGTTATAAAAATGCTTGGTATTATTAAGAAGCTTTCTTAAAAAACCTATTTGTGTATTGTGGCACCTAGAGGAACATTAGCAGATTTGCTTCCAACTTTGTGGGCTATTGAGCTTTAATAAACAAAATTAGCCCTGAACACCTTTTCTGTAACAGAAAATGTAAAATGGCATAGCTCAAGGACTTAACAGTCCTTCATCAGAACACAAAGGAACAACAGGATGCCATGTTGTTACCCACATGGGTGCTTTGTGCTGCTGAAACAAAGCAGGATAACCCAGCCATAGGTAATTTCTATTCACCCTGTCCTAACCTTAGCGATGCATTTATTCAGTTGCATTGTGATCCTTCGTTTAATGAGGTTTGGAGGAAAAAGTAGTTGTTCTTTAGCTGGTCAGTCTCTGTGAGTGAGGATGTTGTCTTGTGCTCTGTCCAGATGTGCCTGAAGTTACTGAGTTTGGGTTATGTGTTCTTGTTCTACCAGTCAATGTTGCAGGTTTTTCTGGAAATGGAAAGAAATAGGATAATTAAAGAAGATGACCTGACAACGCTGAAAGATATATTAAAGCCATTTAGAGCTGACATAAAGAAAAAAATTGATATCTATGAAGAAAAAAAGAAAGGTAAATTTACTTAATCTGCTGTTTAATAATGGAGCTGGGGTCTTCTGTGGGAAATTTCAAGGACTTCAGTATATCTGGACTGTTGCAGCTGAGGTGGTGCCTTCTGACACCACAGCTGGGCCTTACTCTTTGGAAAACAGGATGTCTCACTCAGTAGCAATTGAGACCTATTTTCCTCATAACTTCCTTTTGAATGATTCAGGACATGAGTCTTCTTAGATACATTTATACAGCCCGTACAGTTCCCTGCAGAGCTGCAGAGTAGTTTCCCCTGCATGTCTTTGTGCTGCTGACCTCAACAGTTGTCTCTAAAAGAGCAGAAGAAAATTGCCAAGGGCGGTTAGAGTAATTAAGTCCTGTGTCAGGGAATGGCTTTTTAGTAGTGTTGTTACTATTTTGTCCCCCTTGATAAGTAGAAAAAGAGCATGTCGTGTGGATCTTGTTGCCTTGACAATTAATTTTCATTTAAATATATCTGTGTAACTTGTTAAAGGGGCACTGTGATTTAGCTTCTTGGGTAGAGTCATGGATTTGATGATTTCTTAAAATTTTTTTCAGAAAGCTGTATTCAAATAAGTGTTTTGTTGCTTTGAGGAGATCTTCCATTATGCTGGCATTTTGCATCACCCAGACAGTAAATCCTAAAACATTCTGTTTATCTTTTCCTTCTAAGAAAATTATTCTAAAGAAGAACTCCACTATCCTGTGTCTGTTTCTCTGCATCCAGTGGAACAAGGAGCAGAGGGGAAGACAACACACCTGGTGAGAAATACTTGAAGATTACCTTTAAAGTATTTATCCAGAATTCCGGGAGAGGGAGCATAAATTCTTAAGACTAAGCAGGTAGAACAGCTGAGAGGGAGGGGTTCTGGCTTTATATGTAGGCCTTGGAACAATTCCTATTTTCCAAACAAGACCAAGACCTTTTCCTTTCTGGGGACAGGACTGTCAGCAACATTTTAAGTAATAAATGAAGCTGTTGTGTGAAGAAAACCAGTCTTAATGATAATGGGGACAGTGACATTAAACTCCTGGATGGGACATTCCTGGACAGATGGGAAGAGAACAGCAGAACTTGCTACCTCACTAGAATCCCACAAGGACCACTAGAGGGTAGGGTGCAGGAATTTTTCCTCTGCACATGCAAACTTGTATTTCTGAATACTCACTTGCTCCCATATCAAAATCACATGCTCACCACAGAGAGAGTGGAGGACGGATTCAGGGAGACAATGCAAATTCCTCTCCTCTGTAGCTAGATTGTATTCTTAGGCTTTTCCTTTCTTGTTTCTCAGCCCTTGCAATTTTTGTCCTTGGGTAATGAAGGACCAATAATCTGTGTGTAGTGTATTTCTCTTCCTAATGCTTGGCATTGCTTTCTTACCTGATTTTTTGTTTCCACAGCCTGTGGAAACATATAAGATGAAAAATAACCCCCATGGTTACTGTGTGATTCTTAACAACCACATTTTTAACAATCCGCATTACAACAGAAGAGGAACAGTGAAAGATGGAGGTAAGTACTTTTTTAATCCAATTACTGATTTGCTTTTTTCTCTCATAATTCTCCAAGACAATTATCTAATCTTTCCTGTGAGGAAGAATCATGTCCACTGTACTCCTTGGCCTTCAGAGTAACTGCAGGGGCAGTCATTGTAGAAATTGGAAATATGCCACTTCCAACAGTTTAGCCGATGGCTTAAAGAAGGATCTGCTTTTTGTTGTAGGTAAAAAGCATTTGGTTATATCTACCAAGTAGAGAAGGAGGGATTACTGTTCCACCTTTTCACTTTTTGATTGTTCTTAATTCTTAGCTATCACAGAAAAATATTTTTAAGTCCTTAAATTATTTTCAAAGCTCAAATAAATGCTCTGTAATTTTCCTAAAAGCCTATCTTCCCGCAAATCACTTTTAAGATAAGAGTTTATCTTAACAAAGTAAAATCTGTTTCATGAAAGGACACGTCAAGGATATTTTAACTCCATCCAGCCCGTGTACAGGCTTCTTCCTTCCCAGCTAGTTTCTCACAGCTCACACAACAATTAAGTCACCATTTGCTGAGAAGTCTTCAGAGCATTTGTGAGCAGGTTACTCTGCCTTCCTTCTTGCTGTGTTGATAATTTTCAGAGAATGAGAGACCTATTTAGTTTGAGGGTGGCAGATTTTGTCATTCTAAAGAGGTGGTACTTCTTTAACTTGCCAAGTGTTGTTCTTAGGCATCTGAGGTTGTTATGCAACACACAGTTAAAGCTTGCTTTAACACAGTGAACTTCACTAACTCGTACCTATACATCATTATAATCTGAAACCTGTTTTTGTTTTAGATAGCATGGTACTTAACCCAGCTGTGTTTAAAAAGATAAAATGAGGCAAATTATGCATGGGTTTTTCTAACAGAATTTGGCAGGCTAAGAGTCAGTCCAGGTGAGTTTATGGGTGGTATCTGAACACTTCTGCTAATATCTGATCTGCCACACAGATACTGATGTTTCTGCATCTTTCTTGTCAGTGTTTATGTTTAACAAGTTCCTTCTGACTTTTTTTACCAGAGGCTGTGAAGAGAGTCTTTAAGTGGCTTCAGTTTGAGACAGTTGAGCACATGGATCTGGAAGCAAAAGAAATATATGAGAAAGTTAAAGAATACAGCAAAAGAGATCATAGAAACATGGACTGTTTTGTTTGCTTCATTTTTTCCCATGGTGAAAAACACAAAATAAAAGGCATTGATGATGAGTTAGTAAATATTAGAGATTTGGTCTCCTGCTTCAGTGGATCTAATTGTCCCTCTCTCGCTGGCAAACCCAAGGTGTTTTTCATCCAGGCTTGCCAAGGCTCTGTTGGTCATCCAGCTGTTCCAGTAGAATCAGACTTTTCTGGACATCTTGGGACCGATGCTACCCCTCCAACTTCCATTCCTGATCTGGCTGATATTCTGGTTGGCATGTCTACAGTGGAAGACTATTTGTCCTTCCGGAATAGTGAGACTGGCAGTGTTTACATTCAATGCCTCTGTGACAAGATAGAGTTGCTTTGCCCACAGTAAGTACTGGTTTTAATTCTTGTACATTTGGGGTATTGCAGACATACATACTGAAGCATGCTGTGCTGAAACATCAGTGTTTTGCATTTTTGCTATATAACGTTTTTCACCTGCAGGACAGTGGAGAGTAGTAATTATTTTGGAATTGGGCATTGTTATTCTTCTACGGATGAGACAAAGTATAAATGACTTCCCTGTGACAAAACCAGGGTTGTAATGCTGAAGCATTACAAAAAACAAGTATGTGTATGTGTATGTGTGTTTTTTAACATTTTTTGACTGATGATTTTTCTTCCAGTGACACTTGATAAAAGTGAATTTGTTGAGTGATTGCACAGAGAAAATAATCAGTGTTCTTTAGTCATAATTTTCATTGTTGCCTTCCTCCTATCCTCTCATAAATTTGATTTAGAACATAGAATTTCCCTTCAGACATCACTCTCTCATGATGTCCAGAAGAAGACATGCAGAATGTATAGGTTTGGCCTTGTTTCATCTTGGTGTTCTCTTCTGACTCTAACTGAAGCAGGAGACTGTGTTTGCTGGTAAAGCAATGCTACACGGAGATTGCTTTTATTCCCCCAAACATACTGAATCCTGCTGTTATACAATGGAGTGTGCAATTTCAGTGACAGGTAGGGTGGGGCAGGATTCCAGTCATCCCAGAGATACCACTTTATTGGAGCAAACACAGATCACCTTATTGGCTGAACTGCAAGTACCATGTATTTCAATGTGACTTTTCTTCATTTTTGTTCAAGCCGCATCGATCTCCTAACCATCCTGACAACAGTGAACAGGGAAGTGGGAGGAAAAGAATTTAAAGTATGGAATCAGATGCCAGGAGGAAAAGTATGGAAGCAGATGCCACAGATAATAACAACACTACAGAAGCAACTGATCTTCGAAATTCCACAGGGACAGTCAAGTAAAAAGTAGAAAAATAAGAATGCAATCAGTTTAGGCTTCCACAGGAAAGAGACTTTACATGAGAAATTATCTAGATCTGTGCAGTTAACCCCAGTCCTTGAAGGACCCATAGGACCTAAATTTTAAAATTTCCATATTTAATCAGTCTTCTGACACCTGGATCTGTGGCAGTTGGGTAAGGCTGTGGAAGAGTACAGATCTGGCTTTTTGTCCTGCAGAGGCAGTGGAATATATTCAGTCTGGGTTTCAGGTGAGGAAGCATGTATAGGGTTGTAACTGCCTTACCCAGAGGTCTATCTTTGGAAGCTATAATTTTTCATGGAAAATAACATCCTGATCCTGAAGGACCAAAAAATCCATGGTTATGGTAATACAAGAGGTTCTTTTCCTCCAGATATTTAGTTCATTTTATGTTATTAGTTTACTTGGCTAAGCAGCATTTTGGTGTAAGCTTTTTAACAGTAAGGGTTCTAATTAGATTTTTTCTCAGTGCCCCCAGGGGCCAGTGCATCATGAATGGTTGTCCTCTTGTTTCTGTTGTAATAAATTGTCTTGGTTTTTACATCACCTTGGTCTGTGGTGTGTTCCTTTGTTGGACGGACTGTCTAAGGGACAGTCAACATGACAAACACTTTTACCTCAGCAGAAACTTTGCTCTTGTTGGAGTGTTTCATGGGAGCCAACCCAAGGGGTAGCAGATTGATATCTCTTCAACAGCAGCTGGAGAGATGGTAGGAAAGAATAAGTTCAGGACTGTCATGATAATGGCAGCTGATGCCAGTGAGGCCATTCTTATCTTGCATCTTCAGCAATGTGCAGGTATTATGTGGGAGCTGTATGGGATTCTAACAGCTAAATCCCTTTTGAGTTTATAAAAAGATAAGGGATGAATTTGAGACACTTGGTAACTTCTGCTTTTTTCAGTTTGGATTTTTTGGAAATCCATGTCTAGCTGTAAAGGAGGGCTCTTTATTCAATTCTGCTTATGTTCTGGAAGCAAATATTTTTTTCTGATTCTATGCAATGTGTTGGTGGTTGCTTTCTGCTCCTCTTATGCTTTTTCACCTTCCAAGTAAAAGAGAGACTACCTGTTCTTAGAATTACAACTCTGTTCACATTGGTTTCATAAATAACAAATAGACATTACAAGCACTATGTAAAAGATACTGCAGCAAAAGTTACGAGAAGCTGTTACCAGTTATGGTGTGGTTCTGTGGCTGATACTTGGTTAACCATTTAGGAAATGTGGCAACAATTTATTTACCTTTTTTATAATGTTTTCATCAGTGCAACCCTGATATGAAGTTAGATTAGATTAGTGGGTGTTGTTTTATGATAAGAAAATATATCCTAAATTAAATAACTATTCCCTCTGGGAGAAACTTGCTGAACAGTGGTAGCTGTTCCAGAAGTGAAGTTGTGAATCAATAGCATTTTTATTTCTCATATTTCTCTCTATCAGAGTTCAATACACTCAGACCAAGTTTTTTCAGCTCTTTTATATGAGGAGGAGTTGGATATTAAATTTACTTTTTTGGTATATTTGGTGCTACACAGGATTTTCATTTAGTAGGGTGAGAGAGATACATAGGTATGCTCAGCATCATGACATTCGACATCCCCAGTCATGATGGAACCCGTGGGTTGAAGCCAGCTCCAGGCCATTGCTCTTTTCAAAGTTTAAGTATTTTTATCAGTATTCCAGGTCTTATACTTTTATGTTGGGTTGAGTAGAGCCATATATTCACACCCTCTGTGCTCATTTTGCTAGCTCAGGAAGACATTATTCCTCGTTAATTGTCTCAGGGTACCTAGTGATTCCCATGTGTAGATGTCTTCTCTAAAAGTAAGGTTACCCTCCCATCTCCCTGATGTTGAGGTAAATGGAACTTTCTTTATGACCTGTCTTCCCTGAAATCATATGGTTTTTGCCCTTTGCCTTTTTGCCCTCTGAGCTGTCTCCACTGTGTGTGTGTCTGTGGGGGGGTGCTGGTCAGTCACACCCTGTCATTAAATTGGCTTGGTGTTTTGTTATACCTGTTAAAATCAGGCCACTTTTATAGTTACCATTATCTCTTGCTGATGAAAAAGAAAGAGAAAAACTGCCAAAGTGCCCTAAAGGACTGCAGAAAACAGCCATTCTGTGAATTTATATGCAGCTCATGCAGCTACTGGGGAAGGAGAAAACACATTTTGAGTTTTATGGTTCTGAGCAAAGTATGCTCACACACACCTGCAGCAGGATGGCTCTTGCACTGAGTGGTAAGAAGAAAGTTGGTTCTGCAATTTCCTAACTCTGGTTTTCCTCTGTATCACAACTTACAGAATGGTGAGAGACAATTTCCTTTCCCCTCTAAAGGCCCTCAGCTTTGTTTTTTACTTTACCTGTCCTTCCTTTTCTTTCCTCCCAGCTCATGTCTGGGAGGCCAAATGTTGTCACCAAATAATCCTGGCACCTAATTTTGTGTTTTGTTTTTAGGCAGCAGAAGCACTACCACAGAAAGTGGAGCCAGAAGGCTGGTAGGAAGGAGAAGTTGGTGATTGGAAATCCTGCAGGCTTAAGCTGAAAGCAGGCAAGATCAGAGGGATCCTATTTGAAAAGGAAAACAGTTAGAAGAGTTGGGGAGGACTGTTAGCTTCCGAGGTGGAAATAATGTTATCCAATGGCATGAATCCTTACCCTGTCATTTGCCTTTTGCTACCTATTCCTTCAGTTTAACAGCAGTTTCCCAGAGAGCTGTTTATGCCCACCTTCTGTGGGAAGTTTGTCATTCTTTCCACCTGAAGGGTTTTAGAGTGACTTGTTAATGTGCTGCTCTTGGGATGGGCTGGTGGGACGTGTGAGGAGCCTGCCTGTGTTCAGCTGGCTGCCAGCTTCTCCCACTGCACGGGCTGCTGCGAGCATCCCCACCACGTATAGAAGGGTTCGCTCTTAGTCCTCCAAGTGGTGCGAGTTCAGGTACTGATGAGTTCTGATTCATTGAACTGTTGGCTGTGTCTGTGATAAGATCTCCTGCAGGAAATTCTGAAGACCAGGGAGAAGTGAAAACAAAATACATGCCGTTAAGGAGATTATGCTATGCAGCAGGGGATCCAGAGTGACGTTTTTCTCTGGAGGTGTTGGGTGTTCAGCCCTTGCTCATGAGCCTTTTTTTTCTGACTCCTAACTAACATGGGCACATTCTCTCAGAAATTATTCAAATCTGCCTCTTTTCAACTAGAGATATGTCAAATTATGAACAGAGACTGGCATGTTTAATTTGAAATGGCTTCTGTGCAATGTGCTAAAAAAAAATATAGATGAGATCTTTGGGAATTCCTGGATACTAATTTCTGTGTGTCCTTTCTGTAAGTGTGTCTTTGCTTGTCACTCTATCTGTTCTGTTGACAGCCACTAGAATTCCTCAGGCCCTAAACATGGCTGGCTCTTGTGGATGCCAACCATACATTCCCAGCTAGGTGGAATGTTATCCTGGATATGTCCTCTGAGCTTGGCCTAAGTCTTCTACATTAGTATTTTATTTGTGTAGCCACTTTGTGTTTAGGCCTGCTTTGTCCAGGTATATCAGTGCAGAGAAGGATCCATACCTCCTTTGGTCTATTTGCTAAAAAGATCTCGTTCTAACATGACTTGAGGACACATTAGCTTGTTGAAAAGTGCCTTGTTTTTCAGATTCTTTCCACCTTTGACTGAACTTGCCAGGGATGCAGTATTTAAATATCTTACATAAGGTTTTGAACATTGATATGCTGCTGCTGCTGTCATAACAATGAAAATATTTCTGCCTAATATATTGTCAAACTGTTTTTTACTGGTTTTTGGCAAGGAGGAAGGGATGCTGGTTTCAAATTGGTGCTTAGCAAGAACACTGTTTCTTCATTGGAGAGTATGGATGCTCTGAGGGTTGCTCTCCAGCTCAAGATGAGCATTAAAATGTTAAGGTTCATTTCCAGAAGGATGAAATGCCAACTGGTAAGGTCTCTTCCCTGCTGTTGTGAAATACCATCTATCCAGAGCGCTGCATCAGGTGTATCAGAGGTGGTGCAGCATCCCAGGGCCTTATACCATTGCACAGTGCTCCTGGAAGTCTGCTCCTGTGGCTGGAACGGTCTTCAGCAGATGCGGGAGGGGTGGGAAGGGAGCTGTTTTCCATGGCTGGTGGCTGTTAGGGTACGGGGCCGAACGCCTGCAGGGAATGTGCTGCCTTTTCTGCCAGGAGCCCCAGAAGGCTCGCAAGGAGGAAGGCGAGTCAGTAGCATTATAAAAGCTTCTTTCTGTTTGTATTTAAAGGGTTATGGTTTGTGAGTGCCTGGGAACCAGAGAGACAACTGCAGGGAAAACCCGGGCAGAGGGAGATCTTTGGATCCGCACTAGCAGGTCCGGTTTGCTCAAGGACGGGCTCAAGAAGAGTCAGCGTTCGGAACTCTGAGCGAAGGAGCCAGCCCTCGCGCCGTCTCCCAGGGAAGCCGCAGGGTGTCTCGCTCCGGATGTTCAAATCCAGAGGGAAGCACCGCCCCGGGGTTCGGCCCCGCCTCCTCCCCGTCCCGCCCCGCCCCGGGGCCCGTCCCGTCCCGGAGGAGGCAGGAAGCGCCCAGCCCGGCCGCGGCGGAGGGCGTGCCATGGAGCTGCCCCGGTGGGAGCTGCTGGCGGTCAGCGAGGAGCTGGACGAGGCCGAGCTGGCGGCGCTGAAGTTCCTGAGCCGGGAGCACGTCCCCAAGAGGAGGCTGGAAGCCGCCCGGAGCGCGCACGACTTGTTCGAGGCGCTGCAGGAGAGGGGCGCGCTGGAGGCGGGGAACTTGGCCTTCCTCAGGGAGCTGCTCTACCGCATTGGGAGGATCGACCTCCTGGCTGCCCACCTGGGCTCCAGCCGGGAGCAGGTGGAGCGGGAGCTGCAGGTTGCCCGCCCGGGCGGGGCGCGGGTGCCGCCCTACAGGTGAGTGCGGGGCCGGGCTCCGGGAGCGCCGCCCGCCCGTGCGGGCCGGGCAGAGGCTTCTCCTGCTCTGAACGCCGCGCTGAGCTCCGACAGCACCCGGGCGGCTTCCAGGAGAAAGCAGGAACACGCTGGACGGGAAGGTGGCATTTCAGCCCAGCAGAAGGGAGGACATCGGGCTGTGCGAGGGGCGGACCGGGCGAAAGGGGCAGTGCAATAGTGTTAAACTGTGCTCAGGGACGTGCTTGCGAACGCAATGAAACAGTTCCCTCCACTTCTCTTTCTAGGTATTTGCTCTTTCAGCTCTCAGAAGACATCACCAAAGATGAGCTGATGTCCTTCAAGTTACTTTTGGATGGACACTTACCTAAAAGCAAGCTAACCCCTGAGACTGTAAGAATTTCTTTAATACTTTTTTAAATGATCATTATAATCCATAGAGGAAATAGGGTTGCCCGTGGGGGAATGGGTCTCACTCTTCTTTATGGCGTCACTCTTAAGGTGAAAACACCACTAGGAAAAGGGTGGCCCTGGGGCACATGGGACTTGTCTGTGCTGGTGTTGGGCACAGCCTTTGCAGCTGTGTCACAGCCAGTGTGGCAGGCACTGAGGATGTCACATCCAAGCACCACACGAGGCTCAGGGCACTCAGTGGCTTTGAAAGACTGATGAGCACATTCACTCCTCTTGCTTAACTGTTTTTTTTTTTTGCTGCTGCTTTCTAAGCCATTATCAAATACAGAAAACCACCTGCTGTGGATATTATTTTATGATTTTGGTTTTTTTTTATTTCCAAGTGCAGAAAATACAGATCTAAGCAGCAGATCCTTAAGAAGGCTAAGGCCAGTGAGCTTGGAGTTTACAAATAGCCTTGGAGGAGATCCAGTGGTCTTATGGTGTCCCAGCCTGCTGGGTACTTTGTTCTGTCTAATGAGCACTTTGAGGATAGATATGATCATGTAGTGATAGCTGTTCTAGTAAATCCTTGGGGTGACCACTGTGTTCTGCCACTCATTGTTTGACAAGAGCTTCTGTCCCTTCAGTCCCCTTTTGCTTCACAGCAATCTCTACACCATACTTGTGTGGTTATACTCCTTTTGCCATTGCTTAAGAGGGTCAGTACAGTGATTCTTGTCTTTCACTTAAGTGCAGAAGATAGCCACTGGAAGTCAAATGAATGAAAGCATTCAAAATGGTATTATATATTCCTGTATGACCGCCATTAGATCTGGGTTAGATCGTGTCAGATCTTGGCAACTCTGAGCTGGAGAAGCAAAATGAGTATGTTTTGAGGTTATGTTTTTACTTAACAGTACTGGTAGGTTTTGTTGAACTAGGTTTAATTGGCTCAGCTGAGGTCTCAACTGAGCTACCAGTCAGCTGAACTGACTCTGTGGCTTGCATGTACTGTCAGTGCATTAAAGCTTAGGTGCACATGCTCTAACTTTACCCCCCCGTGGCAGCATGGATGTGCCCTAAGAGCAAACTGCCTTTCTGATTACCCAGACAATGCTTGACATTTTCATTGAGATGGAGAAGAAGGGGCTTCTGGGAAAAAACAACCTAAGCATGCTGAAGAGTCTCTGTGAAAAAATTAACATCAGCCTGTGGAACAGAATTGAAGATGGATTAAACCTATTTGGTAAAACAAAACAGCCTCTGCCCCCTTAGTTATTCTTGAAGTAACCCATAGGTATCATACAGGACTAATAATAAATGCTTTTCAGGTCAAGAAGAGATGCTTATCACAGAGGAAGAGAGGGGAAGCACAGGAGGCCCTGAAGGATATCTGGCATTATCTGTAGCACCTGAATTTCCTGGCAGTTGTAATATCTCTTCCCAGGTATGGGAGTTTCTTAGAAACATCATCATTTTGTCTTTGAAGAGATCACCCCTCCATGAAGTGAACAGTTATTGTATGGTCTAGAAAGAAGAATGCACCACTCTACATCCATTATTCTGCGGCTCTGTCACAGGCACAGCTGCTGCAGTGTTACAGCTTCACAATCATCTGCAAGGGGAGCAAGGCAGGCTGAGTTTATTATACCAGGGAATATGCAGTTGGTTTGGCACGGAGCTGTGGGTGAAGGCAGCACCCCTTGTGAGCTGAGCATGACAATGGTGGTCAGGGGGGTGTTGTGCACAGACTCCCAGAGGCAGTGGGACACTGCACTGCCAAGTCCTGGGAGCAAAGCTGTATAGAGAGAGCTGCCTGGAGAGGAAGGCATCTGGCTCTGTACCCTGCTGCGCCCTGGAGGAAAGCACAGTAGTTTCACCTGCAGTCTTTCTTTTCAACAGCTTGAGGCTTACAAAATGACTAGCCGACCCTGTGGAGTGTGCCTAATCCTGAATAATCACAATTTTGCAAAAGCTAGGGAAACTGTGCTGGAACACAAATACCTGAGGGACCGGAATGGGACAGACGTGGATGCAGGTACAGTGAACGTTAAAGACGAGTTTGCGAATCTTCAAAAACAGATACCTTGTTTCTTTTTCTATACTAAAGGTCTGAATTCCAGTCTTCCCTTTCTGGGATACTTATGTTGTAGTGGCTCAGTAGCTCTGTTTACTGTGCTTACAAGCCCTAATCAGCTCAAGCTTTTACTGGTTGACACAGAACAATTTGCCAGTATTTTGCACTTTTCCTGAGTTTACTGCAACCTTAAACAGCAGCTTGAGCCTGGACTTTACAAGCTAGGCTGTCTTTGCATCAGCTTTGTGCAAACTGCTATTACAATACACAGAATTGGAAACAGATCTGCTGCTGAATGAGACTTGGGCATTAATTATTTAAGATCCAACTTTAAAAAAAAAAAAAAGGAGGGAGGATGTTGGTATTCAGAGGCCCTGATTTTAGCAGGCTGTCCTGCAGCCACAGAGCTCATGGCAGGTCCTAGGATCTGTCAGACCAGTGTATTTGCACTATCTCTGCCAAGAGATAAAATCCATCATTGGGCCTCCCCTGATTGAACTGAATCCAACTTAATTCAAGAGTCAGAGCCAAGGTTTTTCTTCCTGTGATGGGATACCTCCCAGATGGGTAGTGCTGTCCTCTTGGGTAAAGCAACTGAAGCAACTGCACTGTCCAACACGTTTTGAGAGCCAAAAGGACTAGCTGTAAAGTGGGTGGGGGAAAGAGATACAGCTTTCTTAATAGTTCTGTATGCTTTCCAGATGGAGGCAAGATTGCAAGGATGCCTTCTAGTGACAAGTAAGGGAACTCGGTAGAGAGATGATTAGTGATTAGACTACTCGATTATTTTCAGACCAGCAATGTAACTACCTGGATGTAGTCATGTAGCAGGATCTGAAAAAAAAATAAATCATATAATGAAATGTCTCCAATTTCCCTTCTGTTTACTTTCCAGCGGCTCTGAGAAATGTCTTTAGCAAGCTTCATTTTAGAATAGAAGAATACAGAGACCTCACTGCAGACGAAATCCGTAAGACTGTGAACATGTTCCGGTGTGAAGACCACGAGGACAAAGACTGTTTTGTTTGCTGTATCCTGTCTCATGGGAAAAAAGGCATTATATATGGTGTTGATGGGCAGGAAGTACCTATCCAGGAACTGACCACTTCTTTCACTGTACAGAATTGCCGCTCACTTGCTGGAAAACCAAAAGTCTTTTTTATTCAGGCCTGCCAAGGTAATGCTTTCCATAAAGGCGTGACCATTGAAGCAGATTCTGCAGAGCAAGATGCTTCTGTGGAAAGAGATGTGAGATTTCAGCTCGACTGCATCCCTGCAGAGGCAGACTTCCTCTTGGGCATGGCTACCCTGCAAGATTACGTTTCCTACAGAAGTCCAAGGGAGGGGACCTGGTACATACAGGCGTTGTGCCAGCACCTGGAGTCCCGCTGTCCTCGGTACCTATGTTTCCATAAGCTTGTTTTTGGTGACACCCATATTTTCCTTCTAAATGGCAGGGACTTTTTTTTGGATGCAGAGATAGATGATATGCAATGGGAGTGATCACTCAGAGTGAAAACAGTAATGTAGGACAGAGCAAAACCATGCAAGCTGTTCAAAGCAGCTTAGCTAACTGCAATGGAGCCTATTTGAAACAGGAGCCATTAGCACTGGTATAGATTGAGACAGATGAGAATGTGGTATTTTTCCTGTTAATTACCTCCCTAATACAAAATGCACTTGTGTCTTTGCAGAGGAGAAAATGTTGTCAGCATCCTGACAGCAGTGAATCGAGAAGTGAGCAGAAAAACTGGTGAGCGGAATGCAGAGAAGCAGATGCCACAGCCAATTTTCACATTAAAAAAAAAGCTCATCTTTCCTGTTAACTAAATGGGAGAGAACCACAAGTCAGAGGGAGCTGCAGCATTCTGGAATCAGCTGTGTCAGCTAAGAATTTGGTAAAACAGGCTTTCAGTGTGTCTGCTCTTACTACAACAGCAGATACTGTTACTGAAAATACAGCTGAGGAGAAAAAGCCTTAAGAAATTTCTATTAGTATATGTGACACTTTATACTGGAGAGCATCTCTGATCTGGTCTCCAATAGGCAGATTTTAAAAGACAACTGTTATGAAACCTTGTATATTTTATGCCTAACTAACTTTTGCAAAATAAAGGAGGGAGTGCTGCAAATTTTATAGGAAATAATCAGCTCACATGAATGTGTTTTGTTACTTCTCCCCATCACTTAAAATCATTCCTTCTGCAATTCCATATAGCAGTTGCCTGACAATAAAGAATAGAGAGACTGTTCAAGAAGATTATAAGAAGTAAACACCACAATTACACATTTGAACCACAGAATGTCCAGCTTCACATTTGAAAATGTCCAGTTATCCTGTGTTCACTTACTGATCTTTGAGCCTTAGTTCTAAGCACAGAAAAAGTCACTTGGTAAGTACCCGGCTCCTTGAAACATTTTATATTGCCTCCTGTGGTAAGCATGCACAGAGAACAGTTTCAATCTCTATCCCCATTTTATCACATATAGGGCTGACATAATGTCAGCTACTGAGATGTCCAGTGTTAGACAACACAACACTATAATGCTAGAGGAACATAGCTGCTGTAAAATAAGGGAGGGAAAAAAACCAAAGCACCACACCCCCACCCCCACAAAAAAAATCCCCAAACACCAGAAAACAAACGGATTCATTTAAAATGAGGCTCAACATTCAAATATTGTTTGGAGGCTGATAAGCTATTCTTCATTTGTGAAGTTTTTCTCAAGTAAAAGGCTTTCTGAAGTGCAGCAGAAAGTTCTCTGTTCACATATTTACTAGGCAAAGTCAGACCACAACTTGTACTGCACATCTGTCACCTGTACCTGCTTAGGTATAAACACAACAGCCCAGCACAGCCTGATCCCAGTTTTTAAATCGATTTCTTGGCTTCTAAAGCCACCACTTCTGCAGATACCAACTCACTAAGCTTCTATATAATAATCATTCAATTTTAGCCAAAAAAAGCCCAATTTTAGGTTTGTATACTACAGTGTTCTATAACAAGATGACATCTGGAACAAACCACAGAAGGTGACCAAAATACTGGAAAATGGCATGTTATACATGTTTATTATCAAATTTACATTCCACTATGAAACAACAGTAAGTGCAAAAAAGCAGATGAAAAAAATACCATGAAAATCCCAGACTGTTAAACATTGTGTATAATCCCCTCATGTAACAGCCAAATGAAGCCCAAACCCAATTATTCTCCTTCCTTCTCTGCTGCTGTTTGACTGCAGCAGACATTTAACTTTGACCAGAGGCATTTTGAGCATGCAGGGATCACTGAGTTTTTCAAAAACAAACAGTGAAACTAGAAAGCTTTAAGTTTGTGCTTTGTTTAAGACAGTTGGAATACAGGTAAATACAACAAGAATTTCCTTCTGTCTCTTGTGACTTTCACAAGCATAGGTAAGTCCTTTCTAGCATCTGTTTTTGACTCAAACCTGCAAGATAACAGAACCTTGCTGAAATGCAATTCTCCATTCCTTCTAGGTTTACCTCCCACTCAAAAAAAAGTTCTGGTGCAGGATCTTAGCTATTTCAGTCATGCAAGTTTTTCACCTCTCTTACAAGAGACAACAGAAGCCAAATCAGGTCCTAGAATGATGGCGACTTCTAAAATGTTTTCAGAAACACATGTTATTAGAAAAAAGTTTATCTTCTAGGTTTTGGCACAAAATAGTAAACTTAGAAGAAGTATGAATTTTCCCTGTTGCTGCAAGTTAGGGATGTATTACAAAATGTAATCCATGACCATCCGAAGGTATAAATGCATGACAGAATTTCAACAAATGCACCACAGCATTGACCAACTGGATAAACACACAAACACAATGGAACACAGGCTCTTCCATTTTCTTTTTGCCTTATGTAAAAGCATCCGATGATAAACCTCATTCTACAGAAAACAAGCCAACCAACCTCTCGACATCCATAGCATTGTTTGAACTGAACCACTCTATATTGTTGGGCTATGGAATATGGAAGTGTCCCAAAGAGAAACATGCATTTAATTTATATGCTTTTAGATTAGAGGAATTCTGCTTTAGCTGATTAGCTACTCTGCTAACACACAGAATGATCCAATGGCTGGAGTTAGCTAATGAAGCCAGTTAGAAACACAGTGTTAATACCTCCTGTAACTTACATGTATTCCTACACTAAACACACAAAATGGACATACTTTGACAGGCTACACACTTCTCTGTTGACACCAAACTGTCTAATCTTTCATCAACTCGTCATTTCCCTGCAAGTTCCAGATACATAGCAGAACTTGTCTCAGTTCACTGGAGACTAAAACAGCACCCCCTCCTTTCACTCTCACCTTATGTAGCTCGGCAAGACATGGCTAAGTACAGACAAACATAAATACTTACAGGAAAAAATTAAATATTTTTCATTTAAAAAACAAAATGAACCCGTATACAGTCTTTTAAATAAAATTCACCTTTTATAAGTGTAAGATTTTGCTTAAAGAGCAAAAGGCAACTCCAGGAGTTCCTGAATATTTCTGTGCGCTGCTGACAGACAAGTTTCTGCTCAGAATCCCTGTGCAAGTTTGAAGTGGTTACTCCTTTTCCTTTTACAAAAAAACCCCAAAAACTTTTATCAAAGAGTCATCACAAGATCTATGGAACTGTAAAAGCAGAAAGGCCACGTTACAAATTTCCTATAAACAAAGTTAAGAAGCTTTCTTTTCCTGCCCTACTCCACTCAACCCTGCAGCAACAAGGGTGCTGATTACAGTGGATGTGCCTTACAGCAAATGCCAGTCAGTGTAACTGCACTGATTCTTCACACCACACACCCAACAGCTCCCAGCGATGCCCCACATCTGCATACAGGCAAGGTAAACTTAACTGTTTTATCTAACTGTATGGAAACTAAAATAACTTTATAATGTTGACAGGTACAGTGAAAATTTACATGAAGACTAAGAACCTGTTTCCCTTCAGGTCACTAGCAAAGACCCATTCCTCCAAGCAGTTTTGGGCAAACTTCTTCTTCTTTAAGTTACACAATAAATCTACTATGGATTGTTCGGTTATGACTAGAACCTTTGACAGGAAGGAAGCAAAAAAGCAGCATGGGCAGTAGTATTTTGATGATTACCACTCAGAAAACAGATTTCTAAAATGGAGTTCTCTTCTGAGTTGGAAAGTCTGCCTCAGTTATGTTCAGAACCACACTCCATCGATCAAAACACTGGATTACAATGTTCATTAAAATGCCTCAAAGAACACCAGATTTTTTCTTCCTGTTTCTAAATACAGACTGGTAAATTCTGCTCTTAATGAAATCTTTGAAATAAATCCTGCCTAAAATCAGAAATAAGTGAATGAAAGGCATAAAGTTTACTGCAGAACTCCCAAATGTACAGAATGTCTACCTGTCAAGAGAAGAGGCAGGCTACTGAACTTCCAACACTTTTCTTGAAGTAAATGCTCTTCACATATGCCAAATAAAAAGAAACCCTGAATCAAGCACCAAGGGTTTATTTCCTTTTGCAACACTGAAATGTGCCTGAGATACGTGTGTGTGTCTGTGTGTGTGCAAAAATATCCTCATTTAAACAGATGCACACTACACTTTGGAAAGATTTCTTAGCTTGAAGTTTTCCCCAATACATACTTTCCTGCTTCTTAATTCTTATTCATTGCACATTCCTCTGTGTGCTTCGTTCTGAAGCTGTGGGAAAAAATTAACTTCTGTTAATACCTCACTAGCACAATTGCACTATTTCAAAATATAAATCCTGACCACCAGTTTCTGTGTTTGTATACTGAAGTATTGTTTTCTAACACAGAGCTACATATTCCCTCCCCTGCTTCTCAAAGTGGGGAGGAGTTCAAAAGAGCACAGTTTCTGAAATGGAAAATACAAGAATAAAAAAAAGTTTTCGAATTTGTTTGCTACAGAGAGGAATTTGGATCAGTAATACTGGTCAGACTGACTGTTATTTTAATAATATATTTAAATGATATAGCCTGACTGCTAACGACTAGTAAAATACTATGGTCATATGCTGGAAAAAAGTAGGACACCTGCAAGACAGTCCTACACATACAGTTTAAAGGGTTAAAACACTGAGAATGTCTAAAATAGTCTTTTACTTTTGCTTAAGTTAAGACAGATGCTGAAGGGGGTCTCAAAATTAAGCTTTGGTTTCCTCTTTCTTTTCTCCCACAAAAGCCTTCTTCCTCAAACCCAAGCAATGTTCTTTTGCTCCTTGATCCCAACACTTGTCCCTCCCACATCTCTAACGTGCACGTGCCTTCTCCAACTCTTCTGTAACATACCTAGTGATGCCTACACTGGATGTCATCCCTCATATTTTTTACTATGCTCTAACTCAAACATTTTTCAAGCCAGTTAGTCTTCTTTTAGGACACCCATTTTCGATGACTGTGTGCAAGCTGGAGCTCCCAGTGCTCCAATCATGGCTGGAAGACTCTGGTTTCTTCTCAGTCCTACCATTAAGTTGCTACCTGCATTTAAAAGCCCAGCTGAGTCCTGCCTCCTCAAGCCAACCTCTGGCCCTTGATTTTTCCCATGGTCCTGTGTTTCAGGGGGCTTGATCACCCTGGCAATGCCCAGCCTCTTCAGTCTGTCCACCAGGTTCATCTTCAGCTGCCCTATGTCTGGAGCGTTACGGGAGGGCTTGAGGCCATACATTTCCTGCAAGAATGTTTCTGCTGGTCGAGAAGCCAGGAAATTTTCAGAGTGATGCACTCGAGGCTCAAACAGTGGAGGGGAAGGACAAGGTGAACGCGATGGAGAATTTGGTGGAGTAGAAGGAATGGGAAGAGTTCGAGGGGGTTGTAGCAAAGGCAGTTTTTCCAATATGGGGCTGTCGTAAACCTTGGCAGAGATGCCTCGTTCTTGCAAAAGTTTGGCCAGACTGCTTGTGCTGCTGAAAGTAGTAGTTGAGTCTCTTCTGTTGGTGAGAAATTCTCCGATACTAAGTCTGTAAGGAATGGCTGGAGTACTCACTACTGAGTTTCCAGTACTGCTGGAATTTCCCAGTGAAAACGGAGCACCCATGGAGCTGAAATAAAATAAAAGCAAAACAGAGAATATGCACACATTAGAGATCTTTATATCTGCTCTGTATTTGCCTTAGTATACAGAACACCACTGCTATTAGCTGTGACAGTTCCAGCTTTAGTAGACTCAGAATTATTGTTCTGCAAAGTATCAATGAATCTACCTTCTGTGATCACTTATACTGTATTAGATAGAATCATTGTCCAATTAGTTTAAAAAATATATGACAGAATTGGAAAATAAATTATCATAGAATCTTTTTTTAACACCAGGTATATGATATAAGGCACTTGCTAGTCAAGAGTTAAAATTTACTTCCTTTAAGTTACCTTAACCTGTTTTAACTCTCACTCTAGAGAATACCAAGTTTCCCTTTGTAATCACAACTATGTGTATTAGTAATATCTTACGTGTTGCCTAGCTGCCTTGGTATTTTTTAGAACTGGTCCATGTATCAGAAGCCAGAAAGTAACTGTTTAATCCTATTCAGCAACATTTAGGATGTCAGCAGTCCTCATACCTGGGAGTAACTTGAGTGACATCAGATGGGTGAAGAATCCTACAGGTAGTAAAGGTAAATGTGGAATTTGTTGAAGACAGACACTTCCCTGGATTTGAGGCTGCAACGTGAAGAATTTACATCCATTGAGGGTACAAATAAAGGCACATAAGAACTAATAAAATTTTAAGACAGTGTTATTATCACTGCTAATTTTTTTAGGGTTTTTTTTAAAGTAAAGAACAAAGACAGCATTGTCACACAGTCAACACAGTCAAACACATTCCATAGAGAAAAGGACACTGCAAAATACAACCAGGAAGAAACAGTAACAATGCCTCTTACCGGTGAGTGGTACTGCTGCTGAAGTAATAGGTGGCAGGAAAATCCCTGACACTGGCTTTGCCAGTGTACATTTCTTTTCCTCTGGGAAGGACTGTTGTGCTTGAAATGTTATGCCTCCTTCACTTTCTTCCTCATCATCCTCCTCCAGGTCAGATATGTGGTGCACAGTGTCATCAGACAGAGGGGTAAAGCCTTTAGTAACAACACCTGGTCTTGGGTCAAGAATGGTGCCTAGGTTGGGTCGAGCAAGCTGCTGCCAATGAAAAAGGGTCTGAGATCCTGGGGTGGTAAAAGAGGAGAGAGAGCTGTTACCTACTATTGTATTGAGTTACAAGAATTCATCATCAAAATGACTGCAGCCAGCTGGTGCCAACACTGTGATCCACACGATGCACCCGGACGGCAGTGCGAGGGAACAGCCAAACACTCAGTCCCATGTAAGAAAGCCAAGTAGAAAGTGATGCTGATGAGCTGGTTGGCATGGAGCCTACCAAATACTACTGCTTCCTGTTACTGCACATCACACCTAGCTATACACACACCAACAGTGATTTAGCTGGGGAATCTAAAATCCTTTTCTGCTGTTGAGAGGAAGATCATCCTCTTACCTTCAATGGGTTTGACAATTTGCAATTTCTCTGGTAGGAGGACACGGAGATTACTACAGCTGGCAGAGAGATCAGTGAATTCTGAGTTTGTACCCGAGGAAAAAGAGTTTTCTGTCGGTGTACTGAAGCCACTGGCCTCCTCTTTCTGCTCAGCCAACAAATTCAGTTTTCGGTCCCACTCCTCCTCAAAGAACTGCTTCTCACTCAGGTAGTTCTGACGACGGAGGGAGAGCCTGTGCAGAGCTGTGACCAAGTCATTGTCTCCAGGGCTTCCCGGCTGGCCAGGAATGTGAGTGTCTCTGTGAGAAACATCAAATAATAATATATATTAAGACTACTAAACTAACTATGTCTCCATTACACAGCAGAGGTCCAATCTGGATTTAGTTTTGAATCAGTTTCAGAAGAAGGTAACAGGCTGTGTTTCCTACTTCAAATTCTTCTCAGAGCTGTTCCCCATGGCCATCCGTGTGTGGCTCTCCAACTGGTGCACACCAGACTGGAAGGGTTTTGCTGTCATAACAGCACTTGACCGATTAGATCCAGGGATTGGCAATGGAGCAGGAAAGGAAGAGAAGCGGCCACGAATGACATTGGCAGTCTTTACAGTGTCAAATACTCGTTTCTGTTGATCCCTACAGAAAAGACAAGCAAACAAATGTGGTTTTCAGAAGCAAAAAAGATACCATAAAGAAAAAGCTCTGAAAAACAGATTTTCAAAAGTCTGTAGAGACCTCACTAAAAATATGTCCAGAAAAACAGGATTGCCTAAGGCACTCATGTTTTCAGGAGAACTACTCTACTAAGTATCAGAATCACCACTTACTTTAACCTGAAAGACCTAAACCTCAACTGATAACTATTTTAGAATGTTCAGAAGCATGTATTTTATTTATTAATTCTTGCTCAGAAGTATAAGATCCTGGAACACGTCTTCAGGGTTTTGAAAACTGTTATCAATCTTTCTGGTATAATGTCATTTGTCTGGGAGTTTTTCTACAAGCATTAAAAGAGATAAAGCTAGTCCTGTGAATCAGAGAATCTGGATCAAAAAATCTCATTAATTAAAGAATGAAATGACATCCTTTTAGCAAATTTCCAACTTCTTCACAGAATCCAGTATGAACAGTAGGTTTCAAAATTAAAAACATTACCAAATACTACTAACATTTTTTTATTATGTAGAAAACTTACTATAGAGGGAATATACACATTTATAGACTCCTAGAAATCAGTTTCACCTTACTGCGTACAAGTCTATAGAAAAATATCAAAATAGCTCATAAGGATCTGAAAACATACTTTTGCTTGGAGAGAACAGATTCATCAGCCTGACTCAACTCCTTCCGCATTGTCCCTTCAATTTCTGCTGCAAGGGAATCCTAGAGAAATAGGAAAACCACAAGAGCCAACAAATTAGATTCAAGTCTTCCTTCTAACAATTTTAGCAGAAAACATCTGTAAAAATTACTTCTAAAAATTTCCATGTTTCCCCAGAAGAAACATGGACAATGCTTTGGATAAACCCCTCAGACTCTGAAGGAAGAGCATAGGGGGCAGTTTTCCACCATAACTACACTTACGTGTAACCAGTCTGGGTTCAGTTTTCATTAGCAACATCTGCTTTTTCTTCATGTACTCTTTGTGTTGGTTTCTTTAGTTAAGTTACAATTGTAAAAGCACTCTTAAAAGGCCAAACATGAGTGATTCTGTATAGAGAACAATCAACCAAAACCTGATGAATTCCCAGCACAGCCTAGATATTCTGAGTACCGTATTCAGAACATACCTGACACTAATATGAAGGGGAAAATCAAAGCCTTTAACCCTTTTCCACTAGTTTAGTCATCTCTGGCACTCAGTTAGGTCGTGTATTACTCATGATGCTTCAAATTTAATCTCACAAGGCCATAAAATTACTCTCTGAATTCTTGAAAAGACGTTTTGTTTCTTTAAGAAACACTGTCAAGTTATAAAATTCACATCAACATTGAACAATACACTAGCACAACTGAGCACAAGCTGCAGAACATGCTAAATCCCTCATTAGCAGAAATGGCATATAAAAAAGGAAAAATAATTGTGGTATCACAATGTGTCAAGGGAATGGTTAGTTTCCAAATACATAAAATTCTCATAAGTGTACACACTGAAAAACTGAAAAACTATTAGATCAGCTCCTTTGCCTGCTAGAAAACATCTTGTGCTGCAGGTCCTGTAATGGCCAGTGTACTCCTAGAGCTGTGTGCTACTATGGGCTGTCTGTGCCAGCTGGTGTGTGCTGTGCTAGCAGTGTTTGTTACCACAGGAAATGCTCCACATGGCTGCCGGTGGCAGAGACAGGCAGCAGAGCTGGCTCTGCTGCGCAGCAGCTTCACTTCTTCTTGGGACTCATGCAGCATCCCCAGACACTCTGCATTCCGATCCTGCAACTCATGGAGCTGAAAGAGAAAAGAGGCCATTGCGTGATCTCTTCAAAGAGAAGAAGAATGAGACTGAATGAACTCCTACAGGAACCTATAGTGACTGATTCAACACTAATATTCTTCCAACTGCATGGCACAAGCCAACATCAGGAATGGACAAGAGTCAGCAGAGCAACCATACGATTTTATTGATAAAGTATGATGTCCGTATTAAGATCCAAAAGAGGAAAAAGTATGATGAAATCCAAAGAAAAATACATTGAAAAACTCTGCAAATACAGTAACTAGTGATGTAAAGGAAGCAAAAAAAGAGAACTGCCTTAAAATCTAATGAGCTACAGTATTGTTGATATAATCAGTAATATTCACACTAAAACATTTTTTCTTGTAACCACTAAGAATACTAAGACCTCCCTACTTGAAACATCTTCCTTGCCCTTCATACCCCTGTGAACTAGAAAATTTTTTGTGTAGATCAAAGTAATTATTCTTTTCCTCCAATCATATGACTCCAACCACAATGAAAGATTAGAAGTCCTACATAATTAAAAAGTATCAGTTCCCATTCTCTCTGTGTTTGCTTCTCTTGTATTCTATTCCAAACATTTATCTAAATGTATATATGTAGAAACCTTAAGTACCTCTGCTGTCAGTTGTCTCTGAGCATCTTTGGAGGCTTGTAAGTGAAGTTTCAGCTCCTCCTTCTCAATCACATTCTGAAAGCACAAAAAGGTGCTCATCATTTCCTCAGCTGATGTCCCTGAGAGGTTGATCCTCTGCCATACTTTCCTGAAACCGAAACTCTCTTGCAATGTAAGCTCCAAGCTTGCAGGCAAATTTTTACCTGCTGTAAGCACTGGTGAGCACATGCTGCACAGATACATACACAGACACACACATGGACACTCTTTATCAGCACTCCCTTACTTCTTTGAGTTTATGCTGAAGATCTACAATCTGAGACAAGAGGGATGAGATCTCTTCCTGGTAGCGAACCACCTCCTCACTCTTCTCTGACAACTCCTCTGTTATCCTGGAAATGTGAGCATTTGTTTGCCCTACGAACATAAAAAGAAACTTTGTAGAGACCTTCTCCCAGCAAATGAAAAAAAACCCCAAACTAAACCCAAAACCCAGAAAGGACAAGTCAAAGTCAAGAATAATCTGCAAAAACAACCAATACTCTTAGGAAATCAATTCATAATGCATAAGAGTAGGTGCCTTAGAGCATCCATAAAGAAAAGATTATGGAGGAGGTGGAGAAGGAGTTAACTTCAAATGCAAGTGTAACATATTAAGAGCTAAGTATGCAGAACCTGAAATACACATCACAGGTATGTGAAATGACCGCAATAAAATCCAAGGTAAGCTTTTATAAATAATTTCAAATGACCCAACCCCTCATGACCAAGGCCAGACTTGGAATATGCTGAAGAAGTTGGGTTCTGAATTAATCTTGTTATTAACTACCATTCTTTGTAAGCAAAGGCATTTTGTCAGACCTTGTCAAGCGTAGCATACACTCCTGATTCTGGCCACTATCTCCTCCCCAAAGACCCACTGAACACAATTTCCTGTTTCTTTTTTCTTTGAGCAATCACTTCATCAAGTGAGATGACAAAACAACTCAAAAAGCTGACATATTTTTACACAGTTAGTCTTGCTTGTATACTTGCCCTGAAAGCATTGCAAAGTCATAAGAAAGTCTGATCAATCTTGCATAAAGGTGACAACTACAAATTTAGTCCTTGTTGTACCTCATAGATTTACTGCAGAACAAGGTCATGCTTTATAGGCCCATGGGCATTTAAGCTCAGTCAGATACCATTTTTGTGAAAATGTGAATCTTACAGCTGTAGACAACACACCCTTTGGGATAAGATTCTTTCTGCAAGTCTAATTTACCTAGCATGCCTACATGTGCTCTAGAATTGAATAAAAGAGTGAACCTCACAGACATATTCACTGAAGGAAAATAGGAGACCTTCTATTTGCAAAAGATATATATTTTCCCAGAGGGATCAGAGTAAATTAACCAACTAAGTATCAATTCATAGTATTTTGTGGTCATTTGGAACAAGAAAAATCGAGCAGCAACCCAGTCTTCTTTATGGTGGCTGTATAGAAAAAAAATAATCTTAAAATATAAGCTTAAGGTTATTATGCACAAAGGAAGATGTACACACCAAATGACTACAGATAAAAAATGTATCACCACTTTACACAACGACCACAAAAAACTCCCCAACAACTTAACATGCACTTCTATAAGAGTAGCTGCAATTCTTTGCAAATAAGCAATCACCAAAGCAAATACAAACAACTGTTCTAGACAAATTACAACACTTGTCATTTAAATGCTTTGGTTCACAATATATATTTTAAAAATAACGGAGTTTGTAGATTTAAGAGTCTGTGCACTGATACATTTCAGTGTCAAGTGTGCTGAATACTCTATACAAGATGAATATTTTGTCAGTTTTCTAGTACCTGTAGGCTTCAGTTTAGGAAGTTCATGAACATTAGACTTCACATTCATTTGCTCTCTATAAACACAAAATGCATACCTACATTTAAATGACAGAGTGAAACTTGATGAAACACAGAAACAATTTTATGTTTGGGTACAGAGTAAGTCTTGAATGACTGGCATAAATTACTGAAGCTCATTTTTTGATTCATGGTTCACTAAGAAAGTATAGGCACTAGTTATTTCAAATACCATTTTGTCACTGCAAGATGCAACCTGGATACTCACGGAGTTCTTTGACACAGTCATTGACCAGCTGCTGTTCCTTCTCTTCATACGTGATGGTTTCTGTCTTCAGGTGGCAAGCCTTCAAGAAAATTATTGCTTTATCAATAACAATTTCAGTTTATCTATAATGTTCTAAATTTTTATTTCTAAAATTCTTGCAATGGAAGAATCTCCCCTCTAGCATCTGCTCACACTTCCAAATTGTTTTTTCCACCACAGCCTGTTTCCCTGAATTTTATAGGTCTTTTGAGTGAAAGACACGCAGGCACATGAACAAAACCTGATCTCTTGGTTCTAATAAAAAATTGTTGCAAAAAGATGTAATTTGGTAGGGAAAGTAAGCCAAGACAGTGATCAGAAGTAAGCAATTAAATTCACTTCAAAACTTCATAGAGTAAAAAAATCTTGAAAACTGCATGATGTTAGCCAAATCTTTTATGGCACTGAAAAGCTCTTGGTAGAACAGCTTTTCTCTGTATTCCCCAGCTAGGCTGTTTGGAATGTAAGTTTTCTGGGCCAGAGACCAAATATCACAACATATCTAAACAATATCAAGCACACTAGATTGCCACTTTCGTTTTGACTGTGAGGATGATAATATTAAACTCAGCACAGACAAGTCTTCTCTATTCAGGACTTCGCCAGTAAGTGACTCACACCACAAAACTTAGTAAATGGTTTTAAAGATTATGTGAGCAAATAGCACAGCAGTACAGCCACACCAGCGCAGGCTAACACACTTCTTTACATAAAGCTGTCATATGAAAATAAGTAAAAAAAGCAAATATAGGCTCACTATGATTGAGGCTATTTCAAATCAATGAAGGTTGTATTGTATCACAGAATGATAGCATGCTCTTTTCACTCAATTTTTTCACACTAAAGTAGACTAAATTAATCTGTGCCTGGTCTTGTGCAGGGTCAGGAGCACAATAAATGCAATCTGATTTTCTCTTTCTTATCCTACAGCACTACTAAACTATCCATCTTGTCTCAGGGAGTTTTAGGAAGAATGTGCATCTCGTGCTGAGTATTCTGGAGACAAAACAAGGTATATTTTGTTGACATTAAAGGGATGTACTGCTGAATCAAACTTACACTGGGAAAGGCTCAAATAATAAAAAAAAAAAACAAACCACCATACACAAAAAAACCCCAAATCCCACCCTTCTTACAAACAACACCTCCTTTCCTTAAAAGCAACAAAAGGAACCACTTCTAACCCATGTACCATTTTACAAGTTGCACTCTTCACTACCAAAGAAAAGACACTGCATCTGTAGATTCCAATTCTTGGAACCTTTGTTGTAGGCTCCAAGACTTTTATAGCCATTACTTTGTCTGGCCATTTAGTCTTTATCCTTTAAATGGCACAGCACCTGTATTCATGTCTTATACACAAGAGAAATCAGTTAAAATACAGAAATTAATCACACAGTCAAAACTAAGTGTGTCTTTAAAATAACTTAATTAGAAGCTTATTAACCCTTAATATTAAATGTCATCTGATGAAAACATAATGGCAACAGAACGGAATACCCAAAATACTCCTGCTAATTGTGGTCAGATTTATATCAAAACAAGGCACACGAGCCTGAGGGCCTGATGGGTCCAAATACTTTTGCTGGGTGCTTATATATGTTCCCATATTCTTCCACGTATCACAAATGCACCGAGAACGGACTACTAGAGAACTCTGGAGGTACTGAGGAACGAAGGAAACAGAGGGATGTGGGCGTGGAGGGTATGATTTGTATACAAAACAGTCACCCTCCACTTCAAGAGAAACCCTGACGCTGGATTTTAACCACCCTGACTGGTTTCACACATGGCACACACTGGAAGTCAGACGTACCTTCGACCGAAGAGCAAGGTTCTCCTCTTCCAGCTCTCGGAGTTTATCCTGCAAGACATCCAGCTGCAACGGGTCGTGCGGTACCGCGAAAGACTCGTTGAAACGGAGCGGGGTGGAACAGCTGGAATCCGTTTCGCTCTCCTCAGAAGCAATTGAAACAATACGCAGCAGGTCGTCCTTCTTTGACAGCTCATGCTGCAGCTGGTTAACCTATGACAAACGGAGATCACCACCTCGTGAAATACACTTTAGATATATAGTGTTACTGGGTATTATTTTACCACTGCAAGGGAGACTGAAAATTCAAGATACCGCAGAAAAGAACAACAGAATTTAGTTTTTAAATAGTTCAAAATTATTTTCCAGCCGCTTTGATACATGTCTTCATTTTAACATTCTAACTATCATTTCGATTGTGACCATTATTCTGAACTGTCAAATTCCTGGAGAGAAGGACTGAGAAACAACTATTTACATGTATAGACAGGTACCCTCCAGTCTCCACGTTAAATGAACCATAGGACAACCAAAAACAAAACCAAAAAGACAGATCTCATTTAGCTAAATTCCATTTTGCATATCTAAATTTTTATATGAATACATAAGTTTATGCTGTCCTACAGCTGATTATGAGTACATTTTTGTTACCAGCATACTGTTTTATACAAACAGCTAAATCCATTTCACTACATTAGACTACATCTGTTGACCAAGGATTATTTGTAAACTATTTAATTCTTTTTTTTTAAGAAATAAAAACAAAAAAGTATTAGATTGAGAATTTGTGCTTATAGGCAAAGATGGATGAAGATCTTGATCAGAATTCACTTTTCATTACATTTTATTTATTAATTTGTTTACTCTCAGCGTAAACACCCCATTAAGCCAGTTCATTTTCTGGCTGTTTCCTCACTTGTGAAGTTGTTATGCAGCAGGTCATGTCAGATACAACCTCTTATCCTGACTTCTATTATAGATTCTTAGTTTAATGGTGGGAAGTCAGACTGATGGTCTGATATACCCTAATGATATCTAACATTCCCATAATTTCTCAGTAATTACAATATGCAGTCTTCATAGTCAGTTCTTGGACTGAGAAAGGTGATTGGGCAATGATGATTCGAAAAATGACATCCAAGCATACTTCTGTAGTCTGAGAGCACCAATCACCTGCTTTCACAATTAAATAATCCATTTCTATTAATCCTCTTGCCGCCATCATAAATAGAAAAAAACAGAGAGAGTAAAAAACGGGGAAAATACTAAATAAAGGAAAAAAAACAAGGAAAAGCAATCACTTACTCTGTCTAGAGTTTGTCCTAACTGTTCTTCTAGGGCTTCATTCTGTTCCATCAACAAATGGTTTCGCTTAAGGAGGGCTTGTCCAATTCGAGCTGCCAGTTCCAGGTCTCGATCTTTCTGTTCACAGAATGAGAACAAATGCCTCCTTTTGATCATATGAGGTTTAAATTCAGAATAGCTTTAGATTTTCCTAGCTATTGCTCAATGCATCACCACTCTGAGATCCCCCTTCACTCTCAAATGGATCAACACTGTTAGAACAATGATTAATGTTTCACCATTTGGGTCCAGAACACATCCATAACTGTGGTTTTTCATACAGCATATTCTCTTCCACAGACATTTACAGCAAGAGGAAGAGGGGACAGCACCAAACCTGGGGACAGTTTTGGGTTTTGTGCTGAGTACTGGAAAGGTTACGTGGGCTCTGCTGAATCATACAAAGAAGTCACAATTACTTTTGTCTTTCAAGTGACACTTTCTCCAGAACAGACCACTCACCTTGAATAGTGGTGAGAGGGCAGAAGCAAAAGAGCAACAGGAAACCAGAAGAAAGCCACTTCTTTCTTATACTCATTGGCTCCATGGGTACCCATAGTTCTGTTAAATTTTGTTTCTGAGATGGTGCAAGCAAATGGGCAGCTTGTCATCACCCACGTGTTTGAAAAGCGGCTCTTGTAGATAACTGAACCAAAATTTCCAGTAGCTGAACAAACCCCTTCATCAAATACCTGCCCTCAAACACACCAACACAGCACTACAGAGACAAGCTTACCTCAGCTAACAGACGTTTGACCATGTCAGAGTCACTGTAGGACTTCTGCTCTGCATTACCTGTGCCAAGAACTGAAGAGACAAACATGCTTACTGAAGTAGCTGAAATACAAGAAGACTGTGGGAAGGGGGAGAGCTAAACTCAGAGGATGTTGTTTATATACAAATACAGTACTAGGTTGATGAAACTAGAGGAGGCTATGAAAATGCACCTTAACTTCTGCTTCAGAAATATAAAACAATACTCATTTGGGAAACTGATAAATGAGGTGTTGAACATCTACAGCTTTCAGCAATGTTAACTAAGACTTGAGGTGCTCACACATCCTTCAAATTTAGAGAAAGGAGAAAAATCTCAAGATCAACTTTTTGCATATAGCTAAGCAATTAAATCATTCAGCCTGCTAGGGAAAGGGGAACCATATATCAGAGGATATCTAAATATAGTTGAACACATAGTTTAGCCCTGAAACAAAATTCCCACTAGTGTGTGTGAGAGCTATACACAGGAAGTATGGAGACCCCAGGGATTAGTCACGAAAATGCATTTATTAAGAGCTTCACCATCTTGAAAACAATTAAAAAGAGATGAGATGATGTACATCTGCATTTCAGATGTAGTAGTAAATCCCATCTTACTAGTTGAGTGACTTCAACATTTGAAGAATTTGTAAAACTATTAGAAAACTGAGAGCAAGCAGGATTTGAAAAACAAGATCGAGTGAAGAACAAACAAAGCATGAAGAATTTGCAACAACTTTGAACAAAACACAGTGTCAAAATGCAAAGCACTGGTGTGCTCTAGTTCATGTCCTGAGAAAGAGAAGATGGTAGTAACAAAGACACTTTAATTACCTTGTGCAAACTTGTGAGATCCATCCAAGGAGGAGGAAGGAAGTTCAATAAGAGCTAGAGTGACAGCAAATGAAAGATATGGGGGGGAAAGAGAACAAAGAGGAGAAAGAATTAAAATGTAAAGAAATAGGTGGGGTTTTTTGGCATGCATTTTCCACAACTAAAAATAAAAGCTGGGGCAAACATACTTTTTACACTATTAAAACTTTCTTAGGCCTTTTAGGGAACCATTTAAATACGATTTCCTTCAGGAGCAGAATTATAAATCTCCCTTGCAAGTGATGGATGTTTGTACTTGTCCAAGTACAACAGAAATTTGCTATTTTTGCTTTATAGCATGAGAATCATGAAAGTGAAGAAGGCAGCAGCATCTCCTTCAACTGAAGGTCTAAGTTAACATGTTTTGAAACTAATTCCATCGTCACTGAACTGCAAAATAAGATTACTATGGATTTGGTCTAAGTATTTCCTTCACTCTTTTACCTTGTTTAAATCTCACTCATTTCACTCTGAATACTCAGTGGTATTCTCAGTTCTTTTGTTTGTCCTTGCTGAGGACTGAATACTTAATTATGAGATAGTGAAGTGCCAAGCTGAAGTGTACACTAACTTTATTTACTTGTCTTATATAAGTAGACTTTGTACTTTACATACATAATGTCCACAATTAACCTTTTAAAGCATAACATTATGGCTATGCTAAGAACAAAACCAAGTTGCATTTTAGTATAGAAAGAAACTTTCTTGCCATCTTGAAAGCCAGCAGAACAGAAAGAACAATACAGAAGGAAAAGGTTTACTGAACTGTTTCTCTAAGAGCTTAACAGAAAAGTAAATCAATGTAGCAAACCAAACACTTTTTTATCCAGTAGATTAGTAGGCAAAAAACCCCAACGTGCTGCCCCAAGTATTTAGAAGTTTTTTTTTTTTACAGCATTGCCATGTACTAACAGTACTTTTAAGCAGGAAAAAAATAGAAACTCTCCAAAAAATTTTAAATACATATCTATCAGTAGTATAACAGGCATTTGGGAGGTCAGTTTTACCATAGTGGTTGCTGAGAGGGGACTCCAAACTTATCTGGCTTACTAGTAATCTGAAAATTCACTGCACATATGCAAGTAATTTACAGCCATTACAGGCAGAATATTATAGCCAGCTCTCCTGTGGCAACTGTTCCTACCCAGTGATTTCAAGTTACAAGCTCCTATCCAGTCCCCTTAATAAAGATTTACAGTAATTCCATACAAGGTTATTCAGGTGGTTAGGTTCCTAAAATCAGAAGCAAATATCTTTGATAAATAAAATCACAGAACTAACAGCTTTGACACTTAGCTCTACATAACTTTTGTTATTTTCTCACAGTACAGGATCAAAATCATACACAGTTCGTTATAGTTCTCCCTTCTGAACACACACACATGCAATCACTCACCTTGCCAGGCAAATGTTGCAAGCAAGTCTTCATTTTGGTTAAAATTCTTGCTATGTTTTGCCATGTCCCTTTAGAATTATTTTGTGTGTATGAATAAAGACAGAGCTTTTGTAATTCAGGGCTTCTTAGGCTACCACAGTTGAAGGAGAAAATATTCTTTCACCTCACTGAAAACACTGCCAGTGGGCACTCAACTGGTCATGGGATCAACCTCATATAGCAGCAGCAGCCATAAAAAGAGGAGGAGCTCAAGTGCAATAAACTCTTTTGCTATTTTATTTTTATTCCTCAACTAAAATTCACTTGAACCATAATTTTAGCATTCTCTCTGGGAAAAAGTTGTAAAAACATTTCCAAACATATATAGGGGTAGAAAGATACGCACATAAAACCCCATGTTATGCTTCAAGAGTATGACTTTCACATTTATTCCCAAAGCCAGGCAACAGAAAGAAAGATACAAATTTCACCCAACAAGCTATCCAACAATGATTATAACTAGATCTTGATTTATATTTGTATTTGTCTGGCATCACTCTCTCTGGGTGAAGTAGGAAGACTGCTTTCTGCAGTACCTTGACCGCCAACCAGTACACGACCGGCTTCATGAAAACACTGCTGATAAAACCCCTCCCTCTCACTGCAGTTTGAAAATGCAAGCTCATGCTGACTAAAGGTCCTTCTCTCAGAGCCCTGTGTTCCATCACACAGGTGCTGACCAGGGAGCTTCAGCAGAGCTGCATTTGATATCAAGTTCCATCTGATAGACCCTGATCCCACCTCTTTATAATTCAAACTTAGAGGCAAGTACACACCCCACTGATTACACAACTGCTTCCAATAAACTACACAATCATTGACTCGACTATAAAATCATATATGCTTGCAATATTATTATCAGAAACAGACTGAGCAATAAACATTAAGCAGCTTTCCAATTACTTTCCACGGTTAAGAGTTCCAAGCCTGCAAGTTCAACTCATAACAAGGGTGCTTTAAACTGTCGAGTACTGCACTCCTTGGAGGTAATATTTTAGTCTTACTCCTTTGCTATGCACCCTGGATGGAAGCTTGAAGTACAAACAACAACAACAACAACAAGAACCACCACCATTTCAGAAAAATCTTTCAGAGGGGTGACATGTACAAGGAAGAGATAATCATTACAGATTTTATATAAATATCAAGTTCACTCTTCTACGTGGTTTGTTCCAATATATGGAGGAAACAGGACTTCCCCATTTCTCTGAAGTGATTACAATGCATTCTCCTCACATAAAAAGTAAACGTTTGGTTCTTTTGGCAGCCTTCTATACATTTGATTTTCAATGTATTAAAGGTTTCTTCATGTGATTGAAACTGTCCATTTTCTTCTTTATCATTTGAGAGGTTTAGGAACCAGTTACAATTTTCAGAACGGGAAGGCAGTGATCAACACTGACCCAGTACCCAACTACCTGGCATTCGTCCTTTTCTATCTCCAGAAGAAACCATTAACAGCATTTCACAGAGCAAACATCAGAGCAAACATCATCAAAAGAAACACCTTCCTGAAAACAGAGCTGCTGCATACTCCATACCTCTTGTATTACATCTGTTCTAGTGCAATTCTGGGCTCCTGCCTCTTTTCCACTATCACATGTTCCCACTCTTACATTGGTGTGAAATCTAATGATCAGGCAGCCATGGGACTTGCTAAGTCAGCCCTTAGAATCGCAGTCCTGAACTATAACCACCTCCCCTGAACTCAGCCTTCTCTTCCACCTGTCCAAAGTTTTCCGGATGTGAACTCTTCCTAAGATTAGTATTAACTTTACATCCACATTTTTATCTTCAATATTTGGAAACTAATATCTTAGGCCCAGCTATACTCACTCATGTAACGGAAGGACTCCTCATCACGAGTTGGAGAAGTGATTTCTGGAAGGCGGCCATGGCAAGGGCTGGACTGAATCCAGTCTTTATTTTCATACAGATACAGAGAGTCTACTCGTAACTTGTAATCTGGCAACTGTTCCTCCAGCATGCTCACCAACTCTACCTCAGGAAGGTCCTCATTGGAGCAGACATCTGAAAGTGAGTAAATGGCAGCAATAGCACATTATTAAATATATATAATATTTAATACTATTGTTACAGTATTATACATTTTATGTACCATAAAATACTTTATAAGTCTTCAGAATATTTGAAAATAATGATTCAGTATCAGAAAAAATTCCAAAATACTTATTGAATCAATACTTGATTTACATTGTAATATTTGCAAGTTACTCATCCCAAATTGACCCCACAATTTCCTGGAAGGCTGGTCTAGCCATGTGTCCCTCCAGCTTCCTGAATATGATGTATGTAAGGAGCTTCAGTTTCTATCTTTTCCTCTCCATTGAACTAAAACACAGACCTACATTTTACCAGCTATTGATTTTCTAAACTTTCATTGACTTTATCCTGGTTGTTACACTTCCCTTTTCTGAAGAAAACTCCTATTTTTCATTTTCTTCTGTTTTATGCATTTGTTTGATAATGAACATAGACATAAACAACCTTAAACAACCTTAGAGTAACTACAAAAATCAACTAAATACTGCTTTGAAATCGGGGAACAAATATAAAATTCCATTATCATCCTTATCATCCATTATCATCACAGTCTAAGAAATATGATACCCAAAATGCTGGAAATGAAGTTTAACTCTTTCTGTGTTGTGTTGTGTGTGTGCCCCTTAATCTCTTCACAACTATTGCAACAATAAAGAACCATTAGTTCTAAGTTGCTAACATACTGCTTATGGAAGGTATATGATGATTACCTTTGCAACATTTCCACTAAAGACGAAGACTACCTTCAGTATCTTTCAATGGAGAAAATGTTGATTATTGACACTGAGAATTTTAGAAACAGTATTTCACAGTGCACGCTGACTTTACAAGCAAGTTAAATGGACTCACCGTTTTTGTTCCTTTGCAACATCACATAAGCAGCACAAAGAATGTGAAGCATAAAGTTGTCTTCATGTTGGTGCTTTATAACACATTAACACATTCAGGATTTGTTAGAGTATTTCTTTAACTTACCAGGGATGCTGTCCAAGCCCCCGTGAGCAAAACTCATGAGTCCTTCCTTCACAGTTCACTTCCCTGGAAAGAGCATTCTGTAGTCACATTGTGCACCATTCCTTTATTGCTTTGGTAAAAAGATTGCTTTGGTTTAGAGATAGACTGAGAGCCATCAAGCCACAGAGACACTCACAAATCTGGCATCAACTCACTTCTGTAGGCTGGTTCATACTCCACATTTACTGCCATCTTAGGACATGGTTATTTCACCTGGGCTACACTGATCAGTAGAAGTTGCTACAGGATATTTCATGTGAGCTTCACCAGCTCCTCGGCTCAGCCATCACCTAAACATAAAACAAAGAAAATGCCAAAGTTTAATAGATTTCATTCTTTCAAAAGAGTAAACTAATGTGACTTCCTCTCTTTCAGTCTGAATTTCCCCTCTGTACTATAATTAACATTTTTTTTTATAAAAGGTAAACAAACATTTTAATCCTCAGTTTACACAGTACATGTAAAATGTAGCATTAAAATATGTCTTCTCCCTGCTGACATAACATCTCACCTTAAGCACTGACTTTGCCAATTACCTATTTGTCTACACCATTCCTCCTCTCTCATATAGTATTTAGTGTGTTCAGGTCATTCACTGAAATGAGTGAGGCATTTCCCTTTTATGCTAAAGGACAGCAGCTCCAACTAAACAGAGCTTTTCTTCAGGCTGCTACATTTATTTAAAAAATGGATTCTAAAGGTAGGATTTCCAAACCACCATTCTGAGTACTTCGATTGTTAAAAAAAAAAAAGTTTCATAAAACTGATTTAAGCTCTTCCCCTTCAGGAGTCTGTTAAATAAAATTTGGACCTATCAGAAATTTACCTTGTGGATCATGACAAAATTACTGTTTTCTCTACAGCACGGACTCATATAAACCAGAAAATGCAACTACTATGAGTAATTCAGTTAACCTATCAGAACAGTTTACTAAAATGAAAATTCTGCTGTTCCCTTGCCAGGACTAATTAATCACCTTCCATACAAAATACAAGAGTAATTCCAGATGACAGAAAAACACAAAATTAAAGAGAAAAAAAAGTCTCGTTTTTCCCTCCTCCTACATTCAGTAAACATAAAATTCTCTTGGAAGTTTACATGAATTTAAAATTTGCTCTTAACATTTCCCCAAGATCTCTGATCATCAAGCACAACAATCAGAGGTTTGTCTGGCTGTCTGTAGCAACCTCTCATTTGACAAGATCAAAATGGACAGCACAGGAGCTTTTTAAAGCAAGCCTGGAGCCTGCTAGTTCATCTGCTTGTAGACTTTGGCAGGAGACCAAAAAAGAACTTTCTTCCATTAAGCTCAGCTCCTACTTGTGACCAATATCTTCTTGTTTTGTCATTTATTTCTTTATATATGTACTCTGTTTACAAGCTGTAATTATTATCCATATTAGACACTTAATAACACTTAAAAATAGAAAGACTGAAATTTCAGAAACATTTTTCTATCTGAATGTATAGCCTCTCCCAGCACTTGTTTATGATTTTTTTTCTAGAGGCTGTTTTTTAACTGGATTGCTGAAAAGCATTAACTACACACACATCCTTCTCTAAAACAACTCAATACAGTATAAAAGAAGACATGTAAGAAGACTGCTGCAGATACACAGATGCAAGATGAATTTATTTTGTAATATAAAGAGTCACTGTAGTGCTAGATAAAGTTCAGCACGATTGGACAGTTTCTCCACAACTTTGAATCTTTTTCCTTTGAGATTTTAAAATGTAAAATTGTAAAAATGATTGCTGCTACTTCTCAAGATTGGATCTAATCTCTCTTCAAAGTGCAAAGCAAAAGCACTACTTGTTGCAGGTCAATCTCAGTTCAGCCAAAGGAGGGGAAAAAAAAAAAAAAAGAAAAAAGTCATTTGGCTTAAAGTTTTCTAGAGCATTAGGCCAACATCAAGCTATTGAATTGAAAGGGCAGACTCACTTGTAAAATCTTTGAGAAGTTTACTAGATAAGCAACCACCATAAAAGTTAATGCTTGCATTCTCAATGCTTCTCACAGCTCTAGTTTTCTGTACCATGGGGCAACTTCTGTAGAAATTCAACCAGCTAATGCACTGTGCAGTGCCACCCTGACAGTGACTCCATGACTCCTTTATGCTGCAGCTATAAAATTATTCCCTGACTGCAGATTCCTTCTGCAAGTTACAACTATAATTAAATACCCCCATAACATTTACAACATGGCTTTAAAATATATGACGATGCTATAAAAAGATGGACTAGAAATTAAAATTGTGAAGTCGTCCAGAGAGGCATGTCCAAAAGAGAAAACAGAAAACTTTATCAGGTCTTATTTGTAAATCTTTATAAATAAAGATTATTTCCACTGTCAATTTACTATACTCATTTTACACTGACCTACTTATTAGTTTTGTCTCCCCACCTCCTCATATGCCAATTTCCCACCGATGTTTGAGTCTTTCACTCATTAAATTGAACATGGAAAAACCAAGGGGAATCCAAATGTTGGAAAACAGCCCACGTGCAAGAGTGGTGCTCTCAGGAGGCTTTCTTCAAGGAAGGCTCAAGAGAGATGAAAATATCAGACAACATTTTATGTACATATGTACATACACACATACATATCTATCTCAATCTGTGGATTTCTGTACTCTCTAAATTAAATTTTACTCCACGATGTGTGCTTCACATTTCAACTCCCACTTAACTTCAAGCAGTAAGCTCAAATCAGGAGTATGTACAGCATGCTTCTTGTAGAAGGGAGAACCAGCCCTATGCCTTTTGTATCTGCCCCATAGAATTCAAGTTGCTCTGAGGCTTGCTAGCTCATCTGTGCATGGAAAATGGAAAAGAAACATTAAAAAAAAAAAAAAGGCAATCCCATTCATAGTAAAAAGTTTTTTAAAAAGTATGGAGGGCTATCACTTATGACCCCAGCAACAGTCTTGCTGTTCACTAATGTTATAACAAGACCTGACAAAATCCCAGTAAAAACTGTACAAAAATTAAAGTACAAACAACAAAAACATAAGGGCTGGGAAAACGTGTTAAAAACATTACAAGAAATACATCAAAGGTCTACTCAACAGTAAGACATCATTATGCAGAGGTTAAAAAAAAAGAAAAAGTAAAATAATAGGCACATATGCCATTAAATCAATGAGATTTCAACACATGGTTTGATCTTAGAAACAAAGAGATAAAAATGAGTTCTCCTGACCACATGACAGGAATTTTTTTTAATTTTTCCTTCAGTGAGTCAGAAGACCTTAGCCAAGATTAACTTGCAAAAGTAATACTAATTAAAGCCTTAGAGAAAGAAAAAGCAGCTATAAAGCAGTAAAAATTGTTCTTGTCTTTGTAACTACTGCTTTGAGCAATTCAATATGGATGCAGAAAAAAAGCTTTGCCATCTCAATTCAGAATGTAATTCTGAAGACGTTCTACCACTACAGAACTCTAATTCAAATTTGAATTACAAGAAAGGCTAGACAGTCACTTTACAACTGAAAACCACAGAAAAACGTGTTAATTTCTGTGTGCATAGAAAGTTAAAAACATATGCAAAACACCCAAACTTCAAGATAAATATGCTATTATTCCTGTTTTCTATTTGTTGAGAGCAGCTGGCTCCTCACAAGCACTTGCAAAGACTAAACTAGATCTGCTCTGTACAATTCCAGGATGCAAGACATTAGGTCACAAGTAACACAAACAAAATTTCGACAACAAAGAAGACTCTAACTTGATTAAGAGAGAAGACAACATCCATTTTCCAAAAGGGAGCCAACTGAATGAGTGTATTATTCTGAGATGCCAGCTTTTACTGCTATGTAAATATGCAATAAAAAAACCTGTATTGAGTCATTAACATAGTACTTTTTCCATTACTAAAATTGGAATGCTGTCAAGTCAGCTAATAACAATCAACATATTCTGCATTTCAAGGTTAATGAAACAGTTCTCTTATTACAGCAAACATGACCACACCAAATTGCTGCCAAAACATTCCTGGGACTAGTGCTCAGAAGCAGAGGCCAAATCCTTAACACCATCCAGCATGAGATGAAGGACAAAGGACTATCTACTAAAAAACAAATCTAAGTGAACATGAACTTTGCCTATCACAATTAACACTTGCTGTTGCCTAACACCTGTTATTTTCAGTCAATACTGTCCCTACAGAAACCTACTTAGTGCTTATGTTTCTCTCAGGTAAGGAAAAAAATTATTTAAAAGCGTATGCCAACACAATCCTAGTAACAAGTGTCATAATCATAAACAAACCTGCAACAGACCTTCAACCATAAATAGTGAAGTATAAGAAAGGAACAGCAAGAAAACAAAGCAAAACCAACGCCTCCTCCACAGCTCCTGGACTGTTTGTAATTCGGGGTGGGGGTAAGGCTTCAGAGGGGAAGCTGGAGAACACCTCTGAGAGAATGATGAATAGCAAGGGGATCATGAAGCTGGCCACAGTGTTCCCTCATCCTATTTTATCCAGAGTTACACCAGGCCAGGCTCACTTATTCTCCTTCTCGGTCATTTTTAATAGTCCATATTCTCCAAAGCAGCAAAACTACCTGTTAACTACATGTATATATGCTTTATGTGTACATGCACACCACTGAATACCACAGTTCAGATTTACTTTTTTTCAAGTCCTACATGTTTGGAGCTTGTCTACACCACTCTTAGCACACAAGGTAAAAATAGCAAATGCTTAATTGAAGTCTAACTTAATCTGAAACTATGAATGATACCTACCTTAAAGACCCATAAAAAGTTTTATTAATTTCTAATTCTTTTCTGTAAATGCACAGTCAAAACATTACTATCTGTATACATCTTTTCTTGCAGGTTTTCTTTTTACAGAAGAAATTATGTACACACATAGTGATGTCAGGATCACAGAGGAACCAAGAACTATCATGAATTGTGTATTTGTTGGTTAGAGTATAAAATGTGATAAATGCTCTTGAGAGAAGGGTTCTTAAAGGTTGTAATCAGCTGCTTTTAAAACTGAAGCTTGTTCTCTATAGAGCATACTTGATGGGAACTTGAACAGCATTTAATTGAAATCACTAATGCTTTCAGTTGATGCACGGCTGAGTTCACCCAAGGAAGTTGTGTAAGTTCCTTAATATATACCCCAACCAGGGCTCAGCATTTTAAATTATAATCCTTATTTATTAGAATAAACCAGAGTGATCTATATGACTCAGTCACCAGAGTATCGCTAGCAACCAAATCAGAAAAAAAGGATGTCTTCTTTTTTGTAGCCATCACAGTGAAAATGCTATGTTCGTGTCTTCTTGGAAAACAAATCCTGAAAGACAGCACTTCTACTGTACAATACTGGAAGCCCACTGTTAGAGGCAAACCACAATCAGAAAAGTCTCTGATTTTCCAACACTCTTCAAATGACATTTTCAGATACTCAGAAATTTGATAAATTGATGCAATTATAATAGTGACATTGTCATTACAGAGTTGAAAAAATTCAGGTATTGGAAAATATTTTTTTTCAATTCAGTTTCACTGTTAGAATTGTAATTAAAAAGAAGTCTGCCTATTTTTACTCAGAACTACATTTTTCAAAAGATAACAAGCATCTGAAAACAACCATAAAAACAACTGCAGCCTTGCGATGTTGTGTGAAGTTATTTATTAGTATACTAAGTATTTGCATCAGACTCACGATCAGTCAACAATAACTGAAGCATAATCAAGATACAGGACCTGTGCAACAGCTGAAGAATGCACTGAAAAACAAAAACATGAGCATGCCACTACTACACATGGCACTTCTCCACTAGGGTGGTCGACAGAATAAATGACATTTTCTGACATATATTCTTACTCCAGTTTAACCAGCTGATCAGAACGCAACAATATGATCAACTAAAGTCGATAAAAGCTAAAATTTCCTTGCCCTCGATACGTAAGCAGGGCAACAAACGGAGATGCCGCCGAGCGCTGCCTCCCAGGCGCGGTGACACGAACCTCGGTGACGGCACCCGGGCCGCTGAAGGTCACAGCGGGCACCGCCGGCGGGCACCGCGACCCACACCGCCCGGGCGGAGCAAACGCAGCGCTGCGTTACATTACAGCATCGCCACCGCCAAAAGACTCCTGTCAGCCGCCAACACAGAAAGGCACCGGAATTCCTTGTCCGCCCGGGACGGCGGGGCCGGCCCCGGACACCGCCTCACGCTCGGGCACCGCGCCCCGACCGCAAGCAGCCGCAGGGAAGCCGCCGCATGCCCGCCGCACCTCACAGCCCAGGGGCGGCGCGGCTCGGCGGGGAGCGGCCCCGGGGCAGAGGAGGGAGGGTTGACCCGCAGGGGTCACCGCGCGGGGCACAGAGCGCGCCGCTCGCCCTCAGACGGCACAGCCGCGCCGGGCCGGGCCGAGCGCTCACTCACCGCCCGCGCTGCGCTCCCTCCGGCGCCGCTCCTTCCCGCTGCAGCCCCGCGTGCCTCCGAGCGGCGGCTGAGGACGGGCCCCGATGGCTTCCG